ATATCTCAGAACACATCCATCCCAGCTATTGTTTTGCTCTCCACATGGTTGACTCACAATGGGTGGGCTACAGAGTGGCCACAAGACTCAGGTAATCCTTAAATGTTATTGACAGGATTCCCCATTTCTGGGGAAACTATATTGGCTTCCCTCAGCAGTCGGTTGGTCCAATTATACTTTTTATATGTCTTTTATCCTCTTTCTAAATTCCGAGCTTGTTTGGGTATTTGCTTTTTTCCAGACAATCTTAAAGAAATGGGGAGCTATCCAGATTTCATTTTGGAAAGCTAGCACTAACACAAGCCACACAAAGGGTGTTACATTAATATTTTATTTGGCAAATACACCAATCCCAGAACAAATCATACTATTCATAAAGTAAAATATTCTCCATGCAGATTAGCAGTCCCTTCACACCGGGAGGTTAAAAAATGAGTACATTGTCTGCTTCCAAGAAAAAAGGCCTGCAAAATGGTACGAGAATTGAAAAATGCAAAATTTGCATTTTTCTCCCAGTCAGCTACTCACATACAGGTGCCTTACAAAAAACAATTAGAAGGGCTTCATATGGCATGCTTAGGTGCATACAGGACAATAATGATTTATCTTAACTTGTTATAGGTAAAAATGAAATATGCCCAATTCTAATAAAATAGAAAAAGAATTTATTTGCGACTGTATTACAGTCCCGACAGCCGACAATCAACCTGACAGCACAACACCCCCGGGAGATAGGCTGGGTGGACGTGGATCTGGCCTCTAGAGCATCAAATCCTCCTCCTCCACCCTGGCTGCTCCGAGGGAGCAGATCTTATACTCTGTTTTGTCCGTGACAGAGTCCCTTTTTCTTCTTTTAGAGTTTTTTGTATTCAAGTTGGTTCTTTTCTTCAGTCCAGGCTTAGTCTGGGAACTGATCAATGCATTTCCGATTTCAGGAATCCTGTATTCAGGGGGCAGGTGCTGATGGCTCCGGTTATCTCAGATGGGTATCTTTTCGGGCCATCATCTTTGGGCGTCTCAGCATCAAATCCTCCTCCTCCACCCTGGCTGCTCCGAGGCTGCAGTTCTTATACTCTTTATTTTGTCCGTGACAGAGTCCCTTTTTCTTCTTTTAGAGTTTTTTGTATTCAAGTTGGTTCTTTTCTTCAGTCCGGGCTGCACATATCCTCAGTCTGGGAAGTGATCAATGCATTTCCCGATTTCAGTAATCCTGTATTCAGGGGGCAGGTGCTGATGGCTCCGGTTATCTCAGATGGGTATCTTTTCGGGCCATCATCTTTGGGCGTCTCCGGGCACCTGCCTCCGTGAATGCCCATCTCCTGTGCAGCCGAGGTTATTTTCGGGCCATCATCTTTGGGCGTCTCTGGGCACATGCCTCCGTGAATGCCCATCTCCTGCGCAGCCGAGGTTTCCTTCTCATGTTCATGTAAATGTCATGGAATCTCCTTGTCAGGTTTCGCCATCCTGACAATGAAATTCCTACCCCCCCTCCACCCATGTGCAGCCGGTTTGGTTCATATATTTTATAGAAGTCCATATGTATTTTATCTACACGAATTACTAACTGTATCCTTAACAAACTGAAGCACTTTCTGGCTGTGAATTAACTAAAGAGACCATCAGGATCACAGGTCATCTCAGACACGGCAAGTCTCATGGAAAGTGCTCATGAATGAAGTGTTCTTTAGAGGCTCACATCTTTTCTGCTTTCCCCTAACAAAGGCAAGCTTAAAGATTAGTGTTCCAGTAAGAGGCGAAGCAAAATAAACTTCTCACAGATCCATGGTAATAATGTTTACTCGCACTCACAGAAATGAAAGCAGAACCCAGTCAACATATTTTCACTGGCAAACTCCTGAATGTTTTGCTAACTGCTGTAGTTTCAACTAACAAAAATATTATGACGGAACAAAACATTCATTTAGCTGCTATTTAACTAGGAATTAATTTATTTTCAAGTCCAATGTGTCAAAATTACAATGCTTGGCACACAGAGGTTTCTAGAAGGAAAATCCTAGCAGTAATCATTGCAGAAATAAAGAAAACATGCTAATATCTGGATATCCTGTTGAAGAATGCACCAAAAGCAGTTAAACTCTGCTTTTGAATGCACTGAAATGACAATAGAGTTAATAAGCACATTGTGGAGGCATTTCTAAGCAGAACATTTAGGAATGAGCATTGCACAGAGCAGCTGTCCTGGCTCGGCAGGTTCAGGCGTGTGCTGCAGCGCGGGTACAGCCTGGTCTTCCCCGTCCTGCACACAACCCTTGGCCTCAGGGTGAGCTCAAAATGTAGAAAATGCAGTGAGGAGTCTGCTATCAGCTCCCACCCAGCAGAGATTACCCCCCTGCACGGCCTTGCCTTTATCTCACACTGCGGCGAGTTCTCATGAGAACGTCCTTTTGTTTGACAGCGGAAATGATTAACAGCGGTGTTTTCAGCCCGGAGAGCCCTATAAGAGCCCAAAAGGCCCGGGCACGGGGCAGCGCTTCCAGCGCCCGGAGCAGCACAGCGGCGGCGCCCGGACCGAGCCCGGACCGAGCTCCCAGCCCCGGCAGAGCCGTAAGATGATCCGCAGCAATCCCCTCCTGGCGCTGCCCGGGGCGCTTCCCACACTGCAGCCCGGGAGGGGAGCATAGCTCCGGGCATCCCGGCTGGATCCCCGGGAAACAGCGCTCCGGAGCGGGACAGGGCACAGGGATCCCCGGGAACAGCGCTCCGGAGCGGGACAGGGCACAGGGATCCCTATGGGAACAGCGCTCCGGAGCGGGACAGGGAGGGATCCTCTGGAAAAACAGCGCTCCGGAGCGGCCACGGGGAGGGATCTCCATGGGCACAGCACTCCGGAGCGGGAGAGGGAGGGATCCCTACGGGAACAGCGCTCCGGAGCGGGACAGGGCACAGGGATCACTGGGAAACAGCGCTCCGGAGAGGGACAGGGCACAGGGATCACGGGGAACAGCGCTCCGGAGAGGGACAGGGAGGGGTCACCGGGAAACACTGCCCTGGAGCGGGCACAGGGAGGGATCACCCTGGGAACAGCGCTCCGGAGCGGGAGAGGGAGGGATCCCTACGGGAACAGAGCTCCGGAGCGGGACAGGGAGGGATCCCCTCGAACAGAGATCCGGAGCGGGCACGGGGAGGGATCCCCATGGGAACAGCGCTCCGGGCATCCCTCCCGGATCCCCGGGAAACAGCGCTCCGGAGCGGGACAGGGCACAGGGACGGATCCGCCTGGAATCGCCGCTCCGGAGCGGGCACGGGGCACTGGGCAGGCTGGGACTTTGGTGTGGGGGCTGTCCCCGGCTGTCCCCGGCTGTCCCCGTGGCCCGGGACAGTGACACTGCCGCCCCGCACAGCGCGGCTCGGCGCGGCCCCGGGCGCTGACCCGAGCACGGGCTCATCCCGCCCGGCCGGCAGCCGCTTGTCCCGGCTCGGGAAGCGCTTCCCCGGCTCGGGAAGCTCCGGCTCGGCGCTGCACGGGGGCTGCAGGAGGGAGCGGGACCCATCGCCCCCGGGCGCTGCAGGGCCGCTGCTGCGGGGCAGGGGGGACGCGCCGTCGGGAAAAACACGGCGGTCCTTCGGGAAAAGGAAAGAGAGGTGGGGTGGGTTTGGGTGTGGGGAGGTGTCTCTCTAGCCTCCCAGCCTCTCCCGGCTGCGCCGCAGTGGGAAGGGGATGAGCGCCCCTTCCCGGGATGGCTGGTGCTGGGATATGGCAATGGGCAGTGCCTCTCCTGCAGCTCATCCCTCCAGGGTATCCAGGCCCTCAGGGGTGGAAATACACAGCAAGAATGAAGTGATGAATGTTAACCTGCGGGGGGAGCTGAAAAATTGGATTTAGAAGTTTCTCTGCCCAGTTTATCGTGGGTGGCGATCACCACTGGTGAGAAAAGTCTGATTTAGTGCTTAACAGCATTTAACGAGGTCTAGGGGAAATAGTGCTTCAGGGTGTCAGGAAAAATCAGGGAAATCCACAAACGCCAGAGATTTATGTCCAAAAAGGAGACAGCCCTGCAACTTTATGTGAACAAAGGGAGAGAGGCCATAGGGCAAGGTTTTGGAGAGCACAGCCTCCTTTAATCCTAAAGTCCCGGCCCCATGTTGCCCTCTTCCTTTCTCTACTGGCTGAGGTATAAAGAAGATACAGCCTACCCAAACCACCTAACATCAACCACCATGCATCTTTCACAGTTCTGGGTCTCCAAAATGTCTGGTCTTTTTGCAAGGCCATCTTTTGAAACTTGTTTCTAGTTCAATCTCTCTCTCAACAATGTCATCTCCCTTCCATGGCACAGCCCTGCTAGGTCTGTGAGCTGTGGCATGTAAGAAAGTAAATTTTGGGAGTGAACCTGCAGCAGTACAGGTGCTGGCAGCTGAAGTAAGACTTTTAAAAAGTTTAAAAAAAAAAATCTTTACACCCTGCCAGGCCATGCCCAGGCTGCAGAGGAGCAGCACCTGGTGTTGGGGACAGGTACAACCCTCCCTGTGATGGCTAATGGCTAATGCAGAAATTGCATGTGTCCTGAGCTGTGTGTGACTGCTGGCTCCTTCTAACAAGTGTCTTTGTTCATGTCTGTTTCATCACTGCATCTTTTATTAACGTTCAATTAACTCCTAATTAATTGTGAGGAACAACGCTAGCTCTTTAAAATTGGTAGCTGTTTAGTAGGGGATAAAAGGGACAATTTCTAGTGCTGGGGTGCTTGGGTGATGCCAAAAGCACATTGTTAGCTTAAAACAATTTTCTTATACACTTTTCATTACATTGCTTAAATGCATATGAATGAGGCTATAGGTATTCAAACATTCCTGTGATTTCCCATGTTCTGGGAATTCTGTTGCTTGGTGTTAACTTTGACTTGTCTTCAGGCCAGGCTGTAGATTGAATCAATGTATTTTATTTCTTCTCGATGTTCCATTCTGTTGTTCTGACAGTTCCTGAGAAGTATTTTCCATGTTCTGGGAATTCTGTTGCTGTTGTTAACTTTGACTTGTATTCAGACCATCCTGTAGATTGAGTCAATGTATTCTATTTCTTCTCGATGTTCCATTCTGTTGTTCTGACAGTTCCTGAGAAGTGGAGAGTCAGTAGCAAATCTTTCTCTTGGTGTCCTGATTGTTGTCACTATCTCATCATTCAGATAAGATAGTCCACAAATACATTGAATCAACAGGGCTATTTCACACCTATTTCAAAACTTAGTTACACAAATAAAAGTATTTAACAGTGCACAGTTTCAATTTTAATGTTAGACAAAGGTCTAAGCGATAATATATTTATCACACTATTTATAACTACACATGGCCAGAGAATTGGCTGCAAAAGCTGACAGAAAAAACTGTCAAAAACTGCTTTTTATACTATATTAAAGCAGTTCAAATGGGTTACACATAATACTATATTAAAATAATTTTGATCAATAATAACTTGCAAAAACAAATACATAAATGTGAAAGGAAATACTTTTATTGACATTTATAACATGAATTGCTTGCAAGGTTCACACTCTTAGATGGTGAAGGCACACCAAGGAAAAGCAAGAAACAAAAATGCAATCAATTCAAACCAAAATAAACTGAAAACTATTTCCATGGAGGTAGGGGGTGTGGGAGGGGGCTGTGACAAAAGGATAAAGGGGTAAGGATAAAAAGGAGTATGACCTAAAGGTTCAATAGCACTTTACAACATTTAAACTTAACATCACCTTAAACTTAACAGCATTTAACTTAACTTATAACTTAAATGTAATAATTTAGCAAAGGATTCATTTAGGATTTACTATACTACAGAGTCTTGTGTCTGCCTGAAAGATGTGAGGAAGAAGGTTCTGAGAACTCACATCTTCTCTGCTGCATGATTTAGCAGCTCAGGCGAGTTTGGAAACATCTTCATACTGGATATCTTCGACTCTGCGTCCTCTTAAAGGTCCCGAGGCGATGGTTATTGTCACTGAAAACCTCTTCTCATTGATGGACTCCAAAATGCCTTCATTTCCCCTGTACCCACCATTTAATACCAGTACTTTCTTGCCTAGTGCTGGTATCACAGTTTCTAGATGTGTCTGATCAAGCTTCAGTTTGTCCCCAGAGTCCATCACCTTCACGATTGCCGTGTATTTGTCAATCACTTCCTTAACAACTGCCTTCTTCTTGTGGTACTTCCCTGCAAGCTTTTTTGTTATAATTCTCACAATGATTTCAGGATGCAACCAGTAGTCTGTTCGAGATGTTCTCTTCTTCTCCTCTTCAAGCTCCATGATCTCATCAAGTGCAGATTTCTTCTTTTTGTTTTTGGGCTGACCAGAGCGAAGAGCTGCTCCTTTTCTTTTAACTGCACCCTCCACCATCTTCAGTGCAAGGACACTTGTTTTAGAAGATGCTGCAACTGAAGTACTTGCTCCTTTGTTTAATTTAAATGTAATTTTTTCTTCTTCGTTTTCTCTGCTCAATTTAGTGTAGACTGGCATTTCCAGTTCTTTCCCCTCCAAACCTCTTCTAACCTGTTGTTCAATGAATTTAGCAGATTTTTCTTCATCACTGAGGTCCTGTTTCCTCTTCCTCTCTTGTTCCTGCTGCCTGCGAATGGTCTCGGGGTCCCTGTCGATGTACTGAATGTACCAGCCTTTAGGAGTCTCACAAACCTTGCAAAGACCTTCCCTCCCCAGCCACTTGGTGAAATCAGTCAGGGTCTCCCACTGGGTGGCATTCATGTGGATGTGCTCCCGGTGGCTGATGTACTCGTTGTACACAATATTGTTGTGCACCCTCCTCGTCCCAAATCGCCTCCTGAGCAGTTCCAGGAAATCCTTTCGGAATTCCTCGGAGAAGTAATCCAGGAACTGCTGGGGGTTTTCAGAAGCCAGCAGCAGCTGCCTCTGGTGGGACTCGGACATGCAGTGACACTTGAAGCCGTTCTCGTCGCGGCACTGCTTCTGGCACATCTGGCAGTACCAGCGCAGCTTCTGCAGCCCCTTCGACTTGATGCGGTTGGCGATGGCCTTGGGGCTGAGGAAATCTGACTTCCCCATGGCACCAGTCCCGCTCCAATCCTGCTCCCAACACTGTGCCTGTCCAGGTCCTGGCCCCTGTGGAAATGGCAGCAGTCAATTACTAATTAGTAATTTACTTACAGCCCTATCTCACTTCAAAATATTGAAGTGCTTAAGAATGTTGGAACCAATGCGGGGGGGGGAAAAAACCCTCTGTGCTGGTTTGAAAGCAAACCAGGGGGAAATCCTAAGTCAGAAATACAATGTATTAGGGAAATTAAAATAACATGAAGTAGTACAAAAAAATTGACAAGAGTGAGAGTGCAGCCTGACACCCTGTGGGGCAGGGTGCTGGCAGCAGTCCCGTTCAGTGGTGGCTCAGCCCTCCTGCAGTGCCAGCTGTGGTTCTGCTGGAGCAGGGTGGAGTTTGGGGGTCCTCCGGGGGTCCAGGGATGCTGGAGATTGGCCTGGTCTTCCTCTGGGAATCCAGTGGAGGAGGCAGCTGTGGTGTTCCACAGCTCACTTTATATGCAGTTTGGAGTGCTTGGCTCCTCCCTCTGGGCGGAGCATCTCACAATGGGATGACGAAATCAGCCATGCAGGGACACTCAATGGCCCATTAACAGGAGATATCCCCCTGGAGGGAGAATGAGTCCTGGAAGAGATAAAGAACACTGCCCCACCCGGTTTTAACAGATTGTTATAGTATACATTTGGTTACATCTTGCATGGCAACCTAAGGCACCCTCCAACAACATTTTTAAAGTTGGAGAGTCAAGGCATTATTTTATTATCTGGCCAGGATGTTTTTCTGGCCAGGATGTACCACAGAAAGCATCTCATCCACACACATAGCCCAGGTGTGCAGAGAGAATCAATCCATCACACACCGCTTTTACAAGATTTTTCAGATGTTTTATACAGGCAAAACTCATAGAAATTAATTGGGTCAACATTCATTGGTCCCAGGTTGCAAAGTTCTTATATTTGGTGTCCTATTGGATCCAGATTTCTTTGCTTCTGATGTTAATTAGATTTTCATTCCTTGATTTTCTTGTCAGGCTTTTCAGGAGGTGTCTCCAGCTGTGCCAGAGGCAGAGTCTGGGGTAGATGTTCCTAAATTGCTGCTGATGTTCTGTTGGTGGCCTTTATCTCTTCAGGCCTATTCCCAGTCTGTTGATATACTGAATTCATCAGGCCTCACATAGATAAACAGTGTCCTGGAAGTAAGCTTCAGTTCTCTTCCCCCGGGACAAAGGTGAACAACCTTTGGAGTTGTTCACCTTTGCCCTGGTTGAAGTTATAAAAAAAAAATAAATTAAACTTACAATTTTCCAATAGGAGAACCTATCCTTGTCTCACCTGAGGACTTCTTTACAAACTAGGCTAGCCAAATTTGGTTTCTATTATGTTATGGCCAAATTTACCAGTGCAGCTTCAGAACAGCTGTAGCTGTGACAAGCATTTCTCCACATTTACTACAGCATAGTCACACTTGCATGCACACAGACATAAAATCTGTACAAGGTACCTGTGAAAAAATCCCCTCAAAGGCAATGAAATACTCACTTCAGATGCCTTTGCATCTTCTGCACAAGCCAAGGGTCGAGCCTTGAGGAGTGGGGGTAAGAGTCTGTAAAAGGTACCTGTGAAAAAATCCCCTCAAAGGCAGTGAAATACTCACTTCAGATGCCTTTGCATCTTCTCCAAGGGTCGAGCCTTGAGGAGTGGGGGTCTCAGGCAAGGATTCATTGTTGTTCAGGGATTCTCTAAGCGCAGTAAACTTGAGAGTTCACTCACTGAGAGGCCCCACTCAGAGGGAGGTTGCTGGTCACAGCCTCTGCAGTCCAGAAGGGCTCAAAAGGTTCCATTCTGGACCACTGTTTATAGGGCAACAAGACTGGGCATATATGTGTGTGTATAGGTCGCAGTTGAGACAGCCACGACATACAGGGTGTACCATACAATATCAGAAGGCTTCAACCCATACAGAGTAACACCATATCACTTCAGAAGGCTTCAAGCATCTGTCCTTGTTCTTTAGCCCAACCTTTTATACCCCTGGTGTTCATGGATTGCATCTGTGTGCCCTCTGTTCCCTTCTGTGGTTGGTCAGTGCACCTGGGCACAATTATATATGATTAGGGTTGGAAGGGACCTAAAGATCGTCTAGTTCCAGCCCCCTGTTGCAGAACTTCTGCTTAAGGTAATTACCCTTGTCCTGTCAGTACATCCCCTGACAAAAAATCCCTCCCCAGCCTTCTTGTCAGCTCCCTCAATGCACTGGAAGGCTGCAAGCTCTCCCCAGAGCACCCCCAACTCTCAGCCTGTCTGTGGAGCTGGTGTGTATGGGGACAGGGCACCACCTAACCAGAGCAAGGTCTGACCCACCCCCTAGCTCACATTCCAAGCTCCCAAGATGTCTCCAAAGAGATCACCTTCTCCAGTCCCTAACACAGGGAACTTCAGCCTGAAATCTCTCTTAATGTGATTGAGTGGGGCTTATTCTCCCAGCAGTTTACTTAGAAACCAGCATATCTTTTGGCACCCAGTGTGGGTCAAGAGAGAGAAGCTGGAATTACATTTTTTTTCTAAAGGATTTGTGTATTGGGGTACAGAAATTCCCTGATCATCATGACGCCCAGTGTATTCACATGGATGTTGTATCTATTTCCACACATGGGGAGCTATTTGCTCATCATGATGGCCTTTTTAAGGCCACAGAGAGGAACCAAAATTGCTTTGTTAATATGCTATGTTTATTGCATGATAACATGGATTTCCTTTGGAATATATATTCAGTCTTGTTTGCCTGTGCTAACCAGATCTCACCTCTGCCAGGCCTGGAATGAGCACCTTTCAGGCACAAATTTCTTCTATGCTAAGTTCCCACTGTGGTTCATCTTATGGCAAGCTCCTTCCACTGTGATCTTGAAGGTGTTTGGGACAGGCAACTGTGCTCTTTAAGTCCTTACAGATCTCTGGAGGTCCCTTCCAACCTCAGCCATTCTGTGACTCTGGGAATATCCCTTTGGTCAGTTAGGGTCAGCTGTCCTGGATGTGTTTCCTACCACTCTCTTGCCCATCCCCTGTTCATTCTGGCCTGGGGGCTGCTCATTTAAACTGCTCCTTTTGGCATGGAACCAAAGCCACCACACTCTGTAATGTTTATTTGACCAGAAGTGACCCCTTTTCCTCCTTCCCCCTGCCCCTGCCACTGATGTAAGGTGGGAGAGAATAACCTCTGGGTCCTGGCCACACGGCCATCATGCTACTGCAAAAATTACCTGTCCTGGCTGGAAGCAGGACAGATTGACCATCTACAGCCTCTCTGGGTAACCTGTTCCAGGGTTTCACCACCCTCAATCTATAAAAATTTGCTTCTATGTCTGTGTGTACACAACACAGAGGCCCAACAGGCCTTAGAGTAGGTGTCCACAGAAACACGTGCATATTTAAGGTCAACAAATTCTGAAACATGAGTAATGTCAGACTGCCACAGCTGAAGAGCTCGTAGCCCTCTGGGGTTTGATCCATCCAGAATGGTGACATGATGCTGACAACCAGAGCATGAGGGAACAACATGCTCTGATTGTCAGCATCACGTGCTGCTGCAGATGTAAGATGGAATTGATGCTGTAGGGCTCAAGCCCCTTGATGGAAAAACTGATGTGACTGAATTGCCTGGTGTAATGTCTCTGGTACCAGGGCAGCCCACACCAGGCTGTTACCTTAGCTGCACAGTCGTTTCCTTCTGCAGTGAAGCCAGGCAAGTTGGTGTGACTATAAACATGAAGAATATAAAATGGTGCAGTCTGTTGCCATAAAATATGCGATAATGTTTTCAGCAAACAAAACAATTCCTTTTTATGTACCTCTTTCAGAACAGCACAATCTAATCAACAAACTCTATTGCATACATATTGAGAATCAGATACAATATTTAAATTTTCATAAGGCCATCAGCCTGGACATCAATCTTTCCAGTTTCTGACAACCACTTGTTTTTCACCCTAGGAATAGATTGTTGTGTTAACAAACACTCATTCTCAAGATGTTTTCGCATGGGAACTTGCAAACTACTTAGCTGCACTTAGAAGAAGTGACAGGCCAGCTATTAATTTAGCACAGCAAGGCCTGATTTTACGAGGTCTTTATTTTATAATTTCTCTACCTCTCTGTGATATCTCCCCCTTTTTGTTCAGGTGTTCAAACAGCTTACATTTTATTAAGGCTATTACTGGCTATCTATTAGATAAGGGATAAGATACAAAAAAGACCAGTTACAATCCTCTAAACTTAAATCTAATCATGTCACTGATACAGGGTCTTGCAGCATGGGAAGACAAAAGACAATGGCCAATGTCTCTTAAAGAAACAGAAATAATTGACCATTGTTTTTAAGTCCAAATAGCTGAGACTCAGGAATCAAGTTGTGATCAAGTTCATTAGCTGGAAATGTTGACCTTGACATCACTGAATGTCTTTTTTGAGAGCTTTTGTTCTTGCTCTGACCACGAAGGCTGCATGGCCATTAGGTCATTTCTCTTCTCACTGGGGCTCATTTTCTCAGAGGCAATTGATGGCTGATTAAATGAGGTGATTACTTTGAACCTGTTGATGATAAAAACACATGCATATCTTCTCTTTAAGTTAGTAAATCAATTAGGCTTTGTCATTCACATTCAATTGAGGATTCTTACCTAAAACCCTTAAAAAAAAATTCTGTATAAATATTGCATCATTCAGACTTCTTCAGGAGCTAATTCCCCTTTTTGTTTTAAAAACAGCATGCATGATTCTTGCTAGGAACATGAAGGCAACTATAAAAAAAAGAGCATATATGCATATATATACACATATATAGATATGAATATATAAATATGCATATATGTAATGAAACTAGAAACTTAACACAATCAGGAATAATTCAGATACAACAATTATGAATATTTCAGATAATAGACATAATTGATAACACATGTGAAATCGGGTAATTAGTAATCTCTGAAATATTGTACTATTATCCCACACTCTGCAAACAGCTGACTGCTTAGGAAGGTGGGAGCCTCCCAAGGAATGGAAAATATGACCCCCCCATCGTGATTTAACATAGTTTGGTTTCTAGTTAAGGTGAAAAAAATCTGTGAACTGTGGAAGTAATTCCCTGTAAGGACCGTGGCAGTTTCCTTCGGACCTGACAGAACCAATCAGCTGCCTAGTTTTGATTATTGATACCTTGTTAAACCACTTAAAAAGCCAACCATGCCTCTGTGAAAATCACATTTGAAAGCAAACAAAGCCCAGGAAAAACTCTTGCTTCCGGCCTTTGAACCACTAACTGGATTCCCCCCCTTCCCTCTGAATTATAATTTTGAAATTAAGGGGCTTTCAGGCAAAGATAGAAGAGGAATAACAGTTCTTTACTAGTGTGTGTATGTATGTAACAACCAATAATGGACTCAGACCTGCAGTGATACCGAGATGTTTATTGAGAGAAATGAGACATTTTTATACACTTCTTCAAGACACAGTATTTCCTTGTATGGTGTTTAACATTTCCACACCAGCAACATGCTTTCTAAATGTCCTTTTATGGGGTGATCACATGTGTCTGTGATTCAGGTGTCTGGCAGCTTCCAGCCGGACTCTGACAGGGGGACAGGATCCTCCCCATTTCACAGTGAGGACCTGGAGAACTTTATCCATGAAAGGTTTCCAAGTTTACCTCAAAAGGGGGTGCAGCTTTTATAAGACGAAATCAGCAAGACAAAGTGACTTGATTACATTTTTAGTACAGTCACCTGGGTCTGATGGCATAATTGCCAACCAGCCAGGGCCAGGGCTTGGCCAAGGCCTAAGCCTTGACTGGGAGGCTTTCCCTAAATACCTATGAGCAAACCTTTATTAATATCAGTGAGAAACATGACTTCACAAGAGCTTATCTTCCCCATGAACAGGGGCAGATCAAAACACACAGTAACTGGTAACAACACACATCTCCTTCCCATGAATGGAGACACTGATTTAACAGACAGAACCTTAGGAAACAACTTAATTACAGGAGGAAGTTTCTGAGGCTTGGCCCCTGCAGCTCTGGTTTGCTTTTTTTTTGCCTTTTTTTTTGTTTTGGTTTTATTTTTTATTGTTTTGTTTTTGTTTGTTTTTTGGGGTTTTTTCCTTTTTTTTTTGTGGTTTCTTTGTTTGTTTGGGGGTTTTTTGTTTTTTTTGTTTGGTTTTTTTTTTCTTTTTTTGGGTTTTTGTTGTTTTTTGGGTTTTTTAAAGAAAATAGTTAAATTTATTTAGTTCCCCTCTGTTTTTTCCTTCATCTGTACTTGTGTTTTTGTCTACTGTAAGTATAATCTCTCTCCTTATAACAGCTGTGACTCCTATGCCTGTCTCTTTTCTCACCCTTGGTCCTCTCCCTACAGTGTTCTTCATGCTTTTGGTCAGACTTCTTCAATTTTTTGGTCCTCTTGTCATCTTCTTCAGAATGGTGGTGCTTTTTCTTCTTCTGTTTTTTAGCCAAGTGTGACTGACTTGTGTGAGACTCCTCTATATCCTCATCCAGCACTAGGTCATACTTGGCATCTCGCTTTGGTTTTACTTTTTCTTTCAGAGCAAATTTCGAAGGTTTGTCACGTTCCTTCTCATAGTCCTTGAAATCTTCCTTGGTATACTGCCCACCTTTTCCTTTCCATGTAACCTTTGCAACAGACTGGCTGAAATCCACGTGTATCCGTCTGTCATCAATCAGCACATTGTCCATTTTGAAGTAGGCTTTCTCACAGTCTTCCTCCTTTTCAAACTCAATGAAAGCATAACAAAGAGATTCACCAGTCTTCCAGTCTCGGATCACTTCACAACTCTTAATGGGGCCAAATCGTGAAAATATTATCTCCAGATCTTCTTGTTTGGTCACAGGGTTCAGTTTACAAACAAACAGCACATTTTCTGGTGGTTTGATGTCTGCATCTGGTAAGTCTCCCACCATTTCCAGAAGAATAGCACGAGTTTTTGCTTCTTTTTCGGCCTGGACTTCTTCTATTTCATGTGCAGACCGTCCTTTCATGTCATCAATTTCTTCATCTGCTCCTATTCTGCCACTGTCGAGCTGTTCATTTGTAGGTTCTGGTGAGCGATCAGGAACACACAAACCAGGTGGATCATCAAAGGGATCATCTAAAATGACTGTATGATTTATCCTGATATCCTGATATGGGATAAAATCCTTATCTACAAAGGTTTCATTAATTCTCTTCAGTACATCCATGCCTTCTGTCACTTCTCCAAATACTGTATGTACACCATCAAGGTAGTCCAGGTTTTCCCCTGTGGTAATGAGGAACTGTGACCCATGCTGATCACTTCCATTGTTCACCATTGACACAGTTCCCTTCTTCTTGTGCTTGATTCTGGGCACCTTTTCTGCTTCAAAAAATCTGGCTTGATCACCATACAGTTGACAAAATATGGATTCCCCTCCACGGCCAGTTCCCGTGGGGTCACCAGTCTGTATAACAAAATCCTGCTGGACATTATAAATAAGGCAATAGTTGTAGTACTTGACCTTGCAGAGCTTCAGGAAATTCAGACATGCGCGGGGCCGCTCCTCCGTGTACAGGTCGATGACCAGGTCACCCGCCGTGGTCTCCAGCAGCACCGCCATGCTCTCAGAAGGAGATATGAGAATGGGAATAACAGGTCTTCACTAGGAAAATTAAAATAAAATGCACTGACAGAGCAATGTGACACCCTGCGGGGCAGGGTGCTGGCAGCAGTCCCGTTCAGTGGTGGCTCAGCCCTCCTGCAGTGCCAGCTGTGGTTCTGCTGCAGCAGTGATCCTGCAGAAGGGTGGAGTTTTACCCTGGAGGTCCAGGGGTCCTGGAGAAGGGTCTGGTCTTCCTCTGGGAATCCAGTGGAAAAGGCTGCTGTGGTGTTCCACAGCTCACTTTATATGCAGTTTGGAGTGCTTGGCTCCTCCCTCTGGGCGGAGCATCTCACAATGGGATGATGGAATTCTATCAGCCTTGCAGGGACACTCAATGGCCCATTAACAGAAGATATCCCCCTGGAGGGAGAATGAGTCCTGGAAGAGATAAAGAACCCTGCCCCGCCCGGTTTTAACAGATTGTTATAGTATGCATTTGGTTACATCTTGCATGGCAACCTAAGACAAACAATTTTTCAGCAGAAGATCTTTTATATAACAGGCGTTCCTGTTCCAATTTGCATATACTGGTGAGACTAAACACACACAACCTATTCCTGCTCACATGCAGACACATAAGCTCCTAAGAAACAAACTGACAGTATACCCTGCAGCACTCAAACATGCAATTCCTTTTTTTTTCTCTTTTACCCACAGTTGAGACTTAAACAGCACAGAGGGGACTGAATCCCACGAGGCAAGAGCTGCAGAATTGGCTTCAGGACTCTCTGGCAGGTCCATACAAACCACGCAGAAAGGCACAAGGGGGGACTTCAACCCCACAAAACCACAGCTGCAAAATTCACAATTCACCCAGGCAATTACAAGATTTGGTATACCCTTTATAACAAATCAAATTTCTGTGAGTTCCTACAGAAGGAACCCTAATCTCCACACCAAAACCCTTGTTTTATCTTTTGCAACTAAAACCAAACTGTTGTGTGCACCAAAGACTTTAGAATTCACCGTGCAATTGCATTTTATGTGGATGTGACACCCTGGTCAGAGAGTGACAGAACTAGATAAGTTTTCCTGGCGGTGATGCCCATCTTTTATTGCCAGCGAGCAGAGGGACAGCCTTGCACTGCCCCAAAAGCCTGCTGGCCAGCCTCGCCTTCTCCTCCCCTGCACGCCAGGGACCAAATCCCTCACGGCCAGCAGGAGCTGCGGCTCCCAAATCAAGATCCTCCCCAAACATCGCAGGTGAGGGTGAAGCCATCTCCGCCATCAGCAGTTGTCACAGCCATGCAGGTCGCTGCGCCAGCTCCCTTGTCATCAGACACAGAGCCCACACAGATGTCCCAGCCACAGCCATCGTCAGCACCTGCCGTCAGGTGCTTGTCCCAGCTGACATCACACCCCCCGCCGGCTTCCCCCTCCTTTTCCTACAAAGCTGTCTCACATTTAGGACACACCGTCAGGCATAATGTGATTGCCTGGGAGGTGGTTATAAGTTTGATAGAAAAGGTTGCAGAATATGGCCTTGGCTCCGTGCAAGTTATTCGGGCTCTCAGAGTGCTAAAGTCAGACCTGCTGGGTCCATCTGATATTAGATATATAGCGCGGGTACTCTTCCAGCCTTTCCTGTTTGATATTTTTTTGAACAAATGGAGGAAGGCCGCTGAAAAGGCTGCAGAAGGCAACAGGCTTTTGCCTCAGGAAGATCCTAGGTTTCACGTGGGGGCGGACGTTCTCCTTGGAGAACAGGCCTTTTCCAATCCTGATTTTCAGGCCTGGGACTTTGCTGTTCTTGAGCAGGGTCAAAGGGTAGGATTTAAGGCATTGTTAAGAACTATTGAATTGGCCTCCCCCGGGCCACGATTTACGACAATAACTCAAGGAGCATATGAACCCTTTCTGCCATTTGTCGAGAGGCTTGCTGATGCCCTGGAGAGGCAGGTTGAGAACGATGAAACAAGGGATATTTTGTGCAAGCAGCTTGCCCGGCTCAACTCGAACACTGAGTGCCGGAGGATCATAGATGATCTTCCAGGCGACCCGTCGCTGGTAGACATGGTCACTGCATGTGCCAGGGCAGGTTCTGTACACCACAGAGTGTCTGGCCAGATGCCCTTAGGGGGTGGACAACAGAAGAGCAAAAATAAGGGCAAGAGAAAGCAAGGAACACCCCAGCCTACAGGGACGGGTCCCTTATTCTCGTGTGCTAGATGCCTAAGGGCAGGTCATTTTTCCAACCAATGCAAGGCTAAATTTCATGCCAATGGCCAGCCTTTGGCAGGCCCAGGAACAGGACAATGAGCACAGGGGAATTACGCCCTGACACAAGCGATTCCTCAGGGCACGGCGCTGGCTCAGGCCTCCCCAGCCAGCTCAGAGGCATCACCCTCAGCTCCACTGGTGTGGATGTGTGTACCACCAACACAGTCATCTTAGAATCCTGTCATGAACATAAGGTTCCTTTGGACATATTTGGACCTTTGGGACAAGGACTCAGCACGCTGCTTGTGGGAAGATTTACTGTCACCCACCAAGGAATCTTTGTGAGCAAGAATAAGGGCAAGAGAAAGCAAGGAACACCCCAGCCTACAGGGACGGGTCCCTTATTCTCGTGTGCTAGATGCCTAAGGGCAGGTCATTTTTCCAACCAATGCAAGGCTAAATTTCATGCCAATGGCCAGCCTTTGGCAGGCCCAGGAACAGGACAATGAGCACAGGGGAATTACGCCCTGACACAAGCGATTCCTCAGGGCACGGCGCTGGCTCAGGCCTCCCCAGCCAGCTCAGAGGCATCACCCTCAGCTCCACTGGTGTGGATGTATGTACCACCAACACAGTCATCTTAGAATCCTGTCATGAACATAAGGTTCCTTTGGACATATTTGGACCTTTGGGACAAGGACTCAGCACGCTGCTTGTGGGAAGATTTACTGTCACCCACCAAGGAATCTTTGTTCACCCAGGTGTCAATGACTCCGGCTTTTCAGGTCAGATTTGTGCCATGGTTTTATGGCACACCCCCCCCAATCATTATCCCAGCAGGGACTTGGATTGCTCAGCTTGTGCCTTTTCAGCCATGTGTCCCCAGGACTGGCCAGCTCGTGGGAATGGTGGATTCAGATCCACAGGACTGCCACAAGGCTTCTGCCTCGAGCGAAAATCTGGATACGGGACCTGACCAACTGAGAGGGCCTTGTGAGATTCACATCACCTGGGGCCGTGGGTATGCATGTGTTTCCACAGATGCTGGAGTACCACGGATACCTGCAAGGTGTGTCCACCCCACTTTGTGACACCAAAACCAGAATGTGGCCAACAGGCAACCCCCGAGCAATGATCGAGGTGTCAGCCATCAATCAGATGGTCCCTCCACAAGTGGGGAGTGGACATTCCATCCTCTCTTTGTTCTGAAAAGGACTGCTGACAGGCTAAGACTGTCAGCTCTTTGAACAAGTTAATGATAAGTTGTTACTATATTAGACTTAGCATTGAGATTATATTAGAATAAGTAACTGATTTTAGGATTAATAGTGTATTTTTTGTAAGAGGGAATCACAAGATCCAATCTCTCTGACCATTTTAAATCAGCGTCCAATTGAGGTTCTGATTATTAACTAGCAACTGCTGTAGGAACCTCTGCAGCTCTGTTTGTTCTCCTTTCTGCAAAGGACCCTGCAGATGATAACAAACACTGCCTCCTCCTTTAAAGAAAAGGGGGATGTGACAGCCTGGTCAGAGAGTGAGAAAACCAGATATGATTTCCCAGAATCAGCCTGAGAGATTTTAGGGGAGCTGAAGATAAACAATGATAGCTTATTACCATAAACAACCTGCAGGTTGTGTTTTCTACTCTCTGTTCTTGTTTTTCTCAAATATTGTTGATAAGAAATGCGTCTTGTTAATTAGCCAATCATGTGTAGTGGTTAATTGACCAGCCAGGTCTATCTGTACTGGAACAATGTATAAAAGAGGATCTGAAGTAAAGATGCACACTTCATGCAAACCAACCTTCTGGTGAGTCTGTGTCATTTCTTATGCAATGATGAAAATGTTAGACTTTTAACCTGGCACCAAGACTCAAACCCACTTTTGATATTCACTTCTATAACTTCAGACATGTATTTAATAGAGAGTAGCAAATTATAACATCACTAGTAATTTCTTTTATTATCCAATTATACCATTGATGCCAAAAGATTTTTGCTTTTTACATATTTTTCATATATTTGTAGCTCTGTAGACTATTATTTTATAGTTACATGGTTTCTTCAGCTAATTCCAGTATTGTGTTAGACAAACACATTCCTGGAATCCTGTTCTAATCTTGCTTCTTCAGTGAATCAAAGCCATTCCACTTTCCCATGTATTTAGATATAAATAATGTGGAGCTAGAAGGAGAGGGGAGGCTTCAGTAGGGGGCCAAACCTAGAGGGGGAATTATTTGAGTAACTGTACTTCTAACTGGGTCTAACTGTCAATTATGCTGATTTGTTAAATTTACAAATAATGTCAATAAATTCTCAATAATTCTTTTATAGGGGTTTCAGAATTCCTGTGCTAACACATCTGACTTGTCAAGGTCTTAACACCACCCAGCTCACTGACCTTACTGCAGACTTAGCTGTCTGTATTCAGGCTTGAAGGATGTCAATAAATTCTCAATTCTTTTATAGGGGTTTCCAAATTCCTGTGCTTACACATCTGACTTAACACCACCCAGCTCACTGGCCTCAGCGCAGACTTAGCTGTCTGTATTCAGGCTTGAATGAGATTGGTTGGGGTCCCTGTTTGAGGTCAAATCCAGCCTATGATTGTCTTATCCTGGGGACTCATTTACTTCTACTCTGTAACAGCTAGGCTGGTCAGGTTGAGGTCTGTTATGGCAAATTTATCTGTACAGCTCACAGGCCAGCTGTGGCTGTGACAGTTCCCCCTTTCTCTGCCTAAAAAGGGCAAAGTGTTCTTTGTCATCCTCTGCAGGACCCTTTGCAGACAGAGTTACAGTGGGGTCATTTGTCAGAGACATACAAACGACACAACTCTCAAAGGTCCTTGTGACAAACAGCCTCAAGTTTATTCTCACGGCTCCTTTTATGGGAGCTGCAAATTTCCCAAGCTTACACATGTGATTCATTGAGGTCTCAGCACCATCCAGCTCTCTGGCTAATGCTACATCTGCATTTAGGGCTGAATGACACTGGCTGAGGGTCCCTGTGTACATTTGAATCTAGCCTATCCTTGTTCACCCAGGCACTTGTTTTCTTCTAGGCTGGTTGAGCTTGGAGGCAGCTTCAGATCAGGATGACAAAGGCAGCATGATGCCACAGATGATAAACCCAGTTCAAATAAGGCTTTCCACCCAGCTGGACCAGCCCAGCCACCCTAGGCAGGGATGTATCATCCAGGAGCTGCCAAACGAGATCACCAGCAACACAATCTTCCAGGCTAGCATGCTGCAGGCTCACTAGTTAGAAATTACAAATTAAAACTTAACACTACAAACAATAAACAATTCAACTTTAGAACTGTCAGAAAAAAAAACAACTAACAGAAGAAACAGTTTTACTTCAGGTTTATGACCCATGTCCTTAAATAGATACAATCCTTAATTCCCCCATATCCCAAATATATCTAGAAATTACAACTCAACTCTACAAACTAAAAACTATTCAACTCAAAACCATCTCAATTAAAAATACATCCTTCTGGTGGTGATGTTTCTCAAATTTTGAGTCTCAGGGTTCAAGGAGGGTGATGGGTAGGTTGTCCTGCCATTGTTGACAGCATTCTGCATCTGACAAACTGTCAGCATGCTAGCTCATGTTGAATGTGATGGAAAAACATGAGAACACCCAAGACTTCATGACAGGTATGCAGCCACTCCACACTCCGTTTTTTGGGGTTTTTTTCCTCCTACAAAAGCTCTATTCAGTTATGTACAGAATGCGTTCTGCTACTGTGGATCCTCTTCATGGTCTGACTGTTGCTCCTCTTCGTCCTCCCCTTTGTGTTTTTCCAATTTTGCCACCAGCTCTTTTGCAGGGTTGAAGACCCCGTTGGTTTGCTTCCCACAGACGTAGCAGCGCTGGGACTTGCGGTAGTGCTGGAGGGCACAGCCCTCACAGAAGTAGTGCCGGCACTTGGTGACCACGGGGCTCTTGAAGGAACCTCTGCAGATGAAGCATTTGAAAGGCATGTCCTCCTCATCACTGCTCACCTCGTAGTTGTCACTGTCACTGGCGCCGTAGCGGCCCTCGTCCAGCTCCCGCTCGATCTGCCAGCCGTGCTTGTAGTCCGAGCGGTCGTGCAGGAACTTGCAGCTGTCCCCAAAGCCACAGAAGCCGGTCTCTTTGTAGTCCTTGCAGATGTCAGGCTGGTAGTCCCAGCGCACCGTGGCCCGCAGGTTCTCCGGGGCGCGGATGGGGCCTTTCCTGACCATTCCTGAGGAGGCGTTTCCCATCGATGTGTCCTTGGGCTTCACATACTTCTGGTAGTTGTTAATGCCACGGTAAATTTTATCATCTTCCTTTCCTCGCAGCTCCTCCTGGATTTTCTGGCTGCGCTCAAAGATGGCCTGGGCATCCCTCTCCTTCTCCGTGTCCAGTTCATACACTGCTGTGGCCCCCATGTCTTCTGGGCCAACAGGTTTTGCCGACCTGCTCGATTTGTAGGTGACGCCGATCTCCTTGGCAGGATCCTCATCCTCGCTGCTGCTCCGCGCATACTCCGGCCTCTCCCTCATGCAGCGCCTGCTCCTCTGGATCATGGGGTTGGGGGTGTTCCTGGGCAGCTTCCTCCTGACCACAGTGCTGCCCTCGTCCCCACTGCTGTCCCGCTCCTGCTCGCTGCTGGGCCGTGTCCGCCGGCCGCTGCCCGCGGCCCGCGCCCGCTTCTTGAACACAAAGCTGCACACACTGCCCTCCTCCGCCATCCTCTGCTGCTGGCTGCAAAATAAAGGCAGGAAACACCAGCTTAATCTGACAAAGTCAGAATGCGGGTGAGGGTGGTGGCAGCAGTCCCGTTAAATGGTGGCTGCAGCCCTCCTGCAGTGCCAGCTGTGGTTCTGTTGGAGCAGGGATCCTGCAGAAGGGTCTGCTCTTCCTCTGAAGGTCCAGGGGTGGCTCTTGTCCTCTGGAAGTCCAGGAGGCAAAGCTGCCTGAGGTGTTCCACAGCTCAGAATATATCTAGTTTGGAGTGCTTGGCTCCTCCCCCTGGGCGGAGCATCCCACAATGGGATGATGGAATTTTATCAGCCATGCAGGGACACTCAATGGCCCATTAACAGAAGATATCCCCCCGGGGGAGTTATCAGGGATGAGTCCTGGAAGAGATAAAGAACACTGCCCCACCCGGTTTTAACAGTTTGTGAAAATGGTGATATAACACATGCTGTTGGTTACATCTTGCATTGTAACCTAACTCAATGTATTTGTGAGGATGGTGATATAACACATGCTGTTGGTTACATCTTGCATTGTAACCTAACTCACTCAATATGTAACAGTTCTTTGGTGAGCTTCAGCCTTCTTAAATGTTAGACAATTTTACAAAAATATTTTTCATGCTTGTTGGACTTCTAAGCTTGGCTTGAAAATAGGTTTGTGAGTTCAGCTAAGGCTGCCTTTCCTTTTAGAGCCATACCCTTACAGGTTCAGGTACCACCAGAACCCAACTAATTATACATATCCCAGATTACCACCCTTATCCCTCCCTCCAACCAGGTTCCAGGGAGATCCCCAGAAATTCTACCCAGGGAAAGAGGAAAAGGTCAGTGGGGAACAACTTTCAGTAAAATTTGCTGGCAACAGTCTGTAAAAAGAAACTTATACGACATCAAAAATGCAACAATCACTAATGAAACTGAAGTTTCCTAGTACCCTAACAAAGGTGATAAGCACCATCTAGGCAACAAGCTGGAGTAGCCAGCTGTCCTTTTGAGAACTTTTCTGGAATTCCAATAAAAATATTCCCCAACTACAAGTGCATATTCCTTTCCATTTACAGGGTTAAGCTTTTCTAGCCTGATTTTTGCTAAGCCAGTGGTATCCCATATTGTCTGGAATAGGCCACCAATGCATGTTTAAAATGCCTATTCCTCTTACATCCAAATATGAGCAACTCTTGCAAAAAACCTATATTGTTATTCCTTGGTTACACTCAAGTAACTTCATTTTTTGGTGCTGCTTTGAAAGTAAACCAGTGTCTTGGGTGATTTTATGATTATAATTATTCCCTGATCATCTGTTTTATGCCCAAAATGGTTGCTGTACCTCTAAGGTGGGTCTGGGGTGGGGGTGGGAGGGTAAGCCCCCCTTCCTTGGGCTTTTTCAAAGCATCACTCCCCAGGCATCTGTGGTGCTGTGCAGACTGCATTCTTTTTTTCTCTTTTGCTCGGCTAGCTTGGTTTCTGTTAGCTTAGGCAAGAAGTTTTGTTCCCTTTCCCTGGCCTTGGAGAGGCTGTGGCAGTGATCACTTGGTAGCTTTCTTCAAAGGGAACTGTACAGTTTGGTTTTGGTCTGAGATCAGAGAGAACGAGCAGTGGGAGAAGAATTGGCCAGAGAAGGCTGCTCCATCTCAGCTCCTAACCTCATAATACCTGAGCCAGTGAAAGAAAAGGACACCAAATCCACCTGCTTCAGCTGCTGTGAAGAGGGGACCAACATCAGGGATTCACCAGGTTCCCATCTGCTTTTGTTCAAACTACTGCATGAACCCTGTTTTTTTAGTTGGCTGTTTTTTCCTTGAAACAGTTAAAAAAACCCCAAAACCTAAACTTTTCCTACCACATGGCCAGCTGATGTGGGTTATTCCTTTCTGTAGAATTTTGGGTGTTTTTTTCTGTTGGTGGGTGGGGAGGGGGAGTGACTAAGGTCTGACAGTTCAATATCTAGCATTTATTCACCCCTTTTTCCTGTGCCATGTGGGCACTCCATTTGTCAATAAAGGGGTTTGAGTCCCCCAGGACTAGGGGGACTGAAGATTAATTAATGTGCATATTGTAGATGGTTTGGGCATTGAAAACAGGAATGTCCCCAGAGGCACATGGGGACAGAGAGAACAGACCTACCCCTGCGCCAGGAATGAAGGGGACCAGGGGTAGAATCCACAGCTGAATCCCTGGTCACAACAGAGCTGGGGAAGAGGAAAACTGACTTTTTAATAGACACTCTGCCCACTTACTTGGCATTAAATACAAACCAGGGAAAAATAAGCCAAGAAACTGTAAATATTGTTGGTGCAACAGGATAAGTGGAAAAAATGAACATTCTTTACCCCATTAAATTCAGAAAACAGTGGATAATACACTGATTTTTATATATGCCTGAGTGTCTGGTTCCTCTTTTAGGAAGAGACCTGTAAAAATTGGAGGCTCAGATTGTATTTAAAGATGGAAAAATGCAATTATTGGTACCTGAGACTAAAGCCATCAAAGGAAGGACTTTTATGTTGCAGGGAACACCAGAACCAGACAATTCTAGAAGGATACCCAGAAGCAGCAGCAAATGCAGTAACATCCCTGGTTATTGGTGTGAGCCAGTGGAACTCCAGGCTATCCCCTCCCAACAATCTCAGCCTGTGTTACTCTAAAAACTGGATCAAGACTGGTAAGGCAGAAATCACATCCTTTAAAATTAGGGAAACCAAGAGCCTAACAGAAGATTTCAGGGAAATCACTAGTGGTTTAAAGTGACAGATTTGAAGGATGCCTTCTTTTGCATGCCTCTTGATAAGCAAAGTCAGGGCATTTTTGCCTTTGAATGGGAAAACCCCCAAACTGATTGGAAGGCCCAGCTTACCTGGACTGTGTTACTGCAAAAATATAAAACAGTCCAATGATTTTTTGGGAACCAACTGGCAAAAGAATAAGAAGTGTGGAAAAAAGAGGACCCAGAAGGGTTGGTCCTGCAGTATGCTGATGATATCTTACCAGCAACTGAACCTAATGAAACATGTATGGAATTTACTGTGAGTGCTCTAAATTTCCTACTCCAAGGAGGTTACCAAGCATCTCAGGAAAAAAAGCTTAAATCATGAGGCAGCAAGTTACCTACCTAGGATTTGCATCAGTACCAGAGCAGTGGAGGTTGGGAATGGGCAGAAGAAGAATCTGTCACGTACTCCAACCTGTGCCTGCCCAAGATTTAGCAGCATCCTCAGGTGTGGCTGGGTGATGCCAATTGTGGGTCTCAAACTGCAGACTTTTGGTCAAACCATTCTTTGAGCTTTTAAAGGAGGCCTGGGAAGGCCCTTTGATTTGGACTCCTGAGGGTGAACATCCATCCTGTGACCTAAAGCTGGCCCTGATGTCTGCTCCTGCCTCAGGACTCCCAGACTAAACAAAACCTTTGAACTTTTTGTGCATAAACAACAGCCCCTCACCCTTGGAGCTCTGTCTCAGAAGGTAGGAGACTCCAAGAGGCCTGTGGGGCACTTTTGGAAACAACTAGAAAACGTCAGCCATGGGTGGCCCTGATGCCTGTTAGCCACAGCTGAGACTGTTCTCATCCAAGAGTCCAGGAACTTGGGACAAAAGACATTGGTGCACACTTTGCATTCTGCATCAGGACAAAAGTGGGGCATTGGCTTCCCCCAGGTCACATGCAGAAGCATCAAACTGTTCCAATGGAGCAAGAAGATGTGGAAATTAAAGTAACCACAGCAGTAAGCCCAGTCCAGTTCCTGGACACCCCAAGGCAAGGAGAAGAGCCACTGACCCATGACTGCTTACAGACAGCTGAGAAGGTTTGTGCTGTTTGACCAGACCTACAAAATGCACCCACTGGAGATCCAGCAGAGTTCTTTACAGACAGAAGCAGCCTTGTGCAAGAAGATGAAAAGCCAGCTATGCAGAAAATTCATCAACCAAAATAACAGGAGCTGCACTGCTGCCCATGGACACCTCAGCACAAAGGGCAGAACCCACAGCACTACAGAGAGCCTTGGAAGAGGCAGCAGGAAAAAGAGCAAACATATTTGAAACATGCTTTTAGCACTGTCCATGCCCATGGGGGTACATGGAGGGAAAGAGGCCTATTAACAGCACAGGGCTCTCCAATTAAATATAAACAAGAAATACTGTTCCTCCTTGATGCTATCCAACTGCCCAAAGAAGTGGCCATGCCACTCTGCAGGGCACACCAGCGTGGGGATTCCCAGATTTGTGTGGGAAACAGACTTGCAGGTAAAGCTGCTTGAGAGGCTGCACAACGAGGCATCCCAGCATTAATTCCTGACAAAGGCATCTCAGGTAGCCCTGGGTATAGTCAGGCAGATTTAAAATTAGCTGCTTACCTAAAAGCCCAGAATAAAGAGGGTGGGTGGCTGGTGACTCCCAATCACCAGGTCACAGCTCCATCACAACTGATGTTACAAGTTGTGGAGGACAAACAGCAGCAGACCACAAAGGAATCAATGCTACGGTGCCCAGTCTGCAGAGTGCTCCTATGACAAAAAATGTCAGGTCTATTACAGAAAAATGCCCAATATGTGAAAATAATTGTTTGAATTCAAAAGGACCTCCTCCAGGGATCACTAAAAGAGGAAACACTTCCAAGGATAAGAGGCAAATTGATTTTTCTGAGCTACCACACCAACAAGGAGACAGTATCTCCGAGTGTTGGTAGACAGCTTCTGACCATGCAATAAAAGTTTCTCCTGCTGCACCAACAAGGCCAGGGAAGTCACCAAGGTGCTCCACAAAGAGGTCAAACCCAGGTTTGGAGTGCCTAGAGGGATGTCACCTGATAGGGAACCCCATTTTATATCTGAAGTGTTTCAGCAGCTTAGTAGGAGTTGGGTATAAACTGGGATTTACACACTCCATGGAGATGCAGTCCAGTTAAAGGGCTGAGCTCATGAATCAAACCCTAAAAAGACAAATCAGCAAAATATGTCAGGAAACTTTCTTGAAATGGCTACAGGTGTTATCACTAGCCTTGTAACAAATTAGAGTACAGCCCCAAACTAAGCTGAAGGTGAGTCCATATGAGTTGATGTTTGGGAGACTATATTCTGTATTCTTCCCTGGGTCCAAGAAACAGATTGGAAATCAGGAAATGGAACAATTACTTAATTGTTCCATTTCCTGATTAATTTCATTAGGGAAATCCTTGAATGGGCTAAAAAAATGTACCATTCCCTCTGAACTCTTGCCCTAGATACCCCTGTTCATTCATTTCAGCCTGGGGATCACATACACACGAAGACCTGGGAATTGGAGCCACTTCAGGAGCATGGAAAGGACCTTATCTGGTTGTGTGGACCACAAGAACTGTGAAAGTGAAAGGAATGAACTCCTGGATACACTGCACCTGAATGAAGAGGGCTCCTGACTCAGAGTGGCCAGTGGAAAAAAACAGACCCCTGCAGCTGAAAATCCAGAAGACATCAGTAAATGAGCAGTGAAATGTAATACTTATGGGAATCACATTATCTTTAGGTGGGGGTGCTTGAAGAAAATTTAATATTGACTTTAACCCAGGGGTTTGGTGAAATGTGCAATGTGTCCAGCATTAGAGCCTGCCTCCCTGTGCCCCATCAGCAGGGGAACACATTCCTTGGGGAATTGTCCTTAGAGATCTGTCACTGGTGATTCAAAATAATAATCTGACTAAGGTGATAGCAAAGGCAAATGTCACCCACTACCTGGATGAGAAGCAAAGATGCTGGTGACAAAGAGATGGTATTAAAGATCATATTATCCCCTTGGAGGCCAGGGGTTAATGGGACAAAGGGGTAAGGAGTGTCCAACAGGGCCCCATAGTCTCACCCAAATTTTTTTTAGAATTTGCTTTAGCAGCCTCTGGAGGCCAAGCAGCCAGGTTGATAGATTTATGTTAGATTATGAAACATCCCAAAATGTCTCAGACTTGCCCAAGCAACAAGCTCTCTGAAACAATCCTCAAACCTAGACAAAGCCCCTAAAAGGACAATGAGAGCACTTAGGGGAGGCAGGATGGTGCCTAGATTGGGGAATCACACCTATTAATCACCCAAGTAAGGGTCAATAGAGGTATGGAGGAAAAACAAACAATTAAAGTCAATCCAGCACCACAGGCTGGATGGCCAAATTAGTTCTAAACTTTGGTAACCAGCCCTTAAATTGTGTCAAGTCCCTGGAAGTTCCTTCCCCAGGTTACACTGGGGTACCCAAGAATATTGATCCACCTCACTGGCCCCACATCTGACAAGTTACCTTAGGATCATCAACCTTATGCCCAGCTTGGAAAAGAAGCCCCATAAAACCCCAGTATTGGGGCATGGTGTCATCTTATTGCAAAAGCTCTATACTGTTGTCTCCTTATCACAAAAGCTTCACACCTTCTTGGTGTTTTCTCATGGACAACTCCTTAAAGCACTGACTCTTCCTCACAGAGCAGCCAACCCACTCTTTTATAACACTCTTTTTCTCACTGGTCACAGCTGTGGCCTGTTAAAGTCAGCCCTGCTCCTAATCTTTGGTACTTGGCCCAGCTGCAACTCCTTAGGGCTGAGATTACTTTCTGCGCTGTCTTTATTTTCTTATATTCTAGCCCTCAGGACCTTCAGCTTCCTCAATGTTTGAATGGGCCCTGCTGAGTTTTATCTCACCAGGAGCAAATGCTCTGGAAAAAAACCCCCACAAACTTAGTTTTTTTACTTTCCAAATTAGATTATCTAACAATCTGAAGCTCCTTAAAGGTTATTTAAAATTATAAATAAGCAAACATTGAACTGACTTACAAAACAGACCGGTCTTACATTTATTGCTGGCCAAAGAACAAGGGCTTTGTGGATATTTAAAACTGGATAGAGAACACTCTTGTGTACACATCCCAAACACAAAAGATCTCCAAAAACTGCTTAAGAAAATATGGCAAGTTGCTGAAGACAGCAGTGCTATCCAGAAGGCCTCTGCAATGAATTTGTTCAATAAAATTCTCCAAGGAACAGGCAGATGGTCCCTGAGAGGATGGCTGGCTAAAATACTGGATACCCTTGTAATTGCAGTTGTAATTGTAGTAATTACTGGTCATATTTACAAAACAATCAGTTGTGGTCTTGCGAGAATGTGTACGATTGTAGATAGAAATTGAATTGAAATTTACCAAATCATCTTACCAAAGTAGAGGAGTTTCAAAGGGGGGAGTTGGTGTCATGAAGCTTAACTCAGTTTCTCCTGTGCCTGTGAACTTTTAGCTGAGAAATAAAGCATGCAAAATCTGCTCTGCCAGCAAGGACAGCTGGGAGAGAAGGAGAAGGCATCTGGCTCAGGAATGCTGGAATAGCCAAAACAAGGACTGAGTTTGGGAGCTTGGGGAGGGTTTTATGGCAATGGCCGAATTGTAACATGCATGTAACACATTGAAATTGTAATATGCAAGCAACACACTTGCGAAATTGTGTGTGCACACAAAGCTAGCAGTTATCACCCGTGTAACCAGGTGCCTGAATAAATGATGTCCTCCTTAGCTCTAAACTGGTGTTAAGCTGTCTTACTCAACAAGTTTTCAGTGGATCTGGGGACAGTTCAAGCTGAATTTTCCTCAGCAGAGTCTCAGCTGTCTCTCATTCCATGAAGCCATTTCTCCACAGCACAATAATGCAGGAACAGCTCAAGCTCTGTGAAGCAAGCTCACACCTGGGCACAGCTGTTGAAAGGACAGTGGGGAGGCAGGACGGTGCCTAGATCAGGGGAGCACACTGCCTCTGAGAGACCCCAAACAGGTCTGGGCTTTCATCCTCCCTCAGCCCAAGCACCATGCAAGTCTTCCTCTGGACTCTGCTCCTGCTGAGTCTCCTCACCACACCTTTCCTTGAACAAAGTGCTGGTAGTTGCTGGCCCCCTGTCCCTGGCTCAGTCTGCAGCTTGCAGACCAAGCCACCTGCACCAGATCATTCAGCATCCCCGTGCTGGTGGCTGCAATCACAGGAGGGCTTTGTCCCCTCCTCCTGGCTCAGATCACCATTCTCTCACCAAGGTGAGACTCATCCCAGTGGGAGCAGGCAGTAAATCTTCACAAAATGCCCAAACTGGATTGCAGCAAAGGGAGGGTCGTGACACAAGCAGTAATTGGACTCTCATGCTGTCATTTCAGTAAAATTAAAAAAGCAGGATTTGAGTGGTTGCATGTCTCCCCAGCGGTGTCTGTAAATGCAAAATCACAGAGGGTTTGTACACAAATGCATCCTTTTCCAACATACACTTAAATTTCAGTAAAATTACAAAAGCAGGATTTGAGTGGTTGCATGGTCTCCCCAGCGGTGTTGTCTGTAAATGCAAAATCACAGAGGGTTTGTACACAAATGCATCCTTTTCCAACATACACTTACACACAGCTTCAGCAGTTTAATCAGGATGAGTTGCACGAGGAGAAACACTTTGTTCAGTGTCAAGACAAGTGTCTTGGGCCATCATGGCATTGCTTTCCAAATAAATCTCTGTTGTTCCTGTACAACACCCCCTGCCCTCTGGATCATGATCAGGACGAGTTGCAAGAGGACAAACACTTCGTTCAGTGTCAAGACAAGTGTCTTGGGCTATCATGGCATTACTTTCCCAAATAAATCTCTGTTGTTCCTGTACAACACCCCTTGCCCTCTGGATCATCCCCTCCCCAGCCATGTCCCACCCCTCCTCATCCTCACTGACCACTCTGGGGCTGCCCTGGACCCTGATTTTCACAGGAATTTCACTAAATCCCACTGCAGTTCTTAATAAACTGAGCACACCTTGCTGCTGTTCATATTACATGTGAAGCTGGCTAACATGGAAAATCTGAGGATGAGGAAAAGTGGAACTGATCAGGGTTTATATGGAACTGATAGGGATTGATATGGAATTGATAGGGGTTTATATGGAATTTGTAGGGATTGATAGGTAATTGTTCAGGATTTATTTGGAATTGATTGGGATTTATATGGAATTGACAGGGATTGATATGGGACTGATAGGGATTGATATGGAATTGATAGGGGTTTATATGTAACTGATAAGGATTGATATGGAATTGATAGGGGTTGATATGGAATTGATAGGGATTTATATGGAATTGATAGGGATTGATAGGGATTTATATGGAATTGATAGGGGTTTATATGGAATTGATGTGGATTAATATGGAATTGACGGGGATTGATATGGAATTGATGGAGATTTATATGGAATGGACAGGGATTGATATGGAACTGACAGGGATTGATATGGAATTGGTAGGGATTTATATGGAGTTGATAGGGATTGATACGGAATTGACAGGGATTTATCTGGAACTGATAAGGATTGATATGGGATTGAGAGGGGTTTATAAGGAATTGATGGGGATTGATATGGAATTGATGGGGATTTATATGGAATTGAGTGGGATTAATATGGAATTGACAGGGATTGATATGGAATTGATAGGAATTTATATGGAGTTGATAGGGATTGATATGGAACTGACAGGGATTGATATGGAATTGACAGGGATTGATCCGGCACAGATAGGGGTTTATACGGAATTGACAGGGATTTATATGGAATTGATAGGGGTTTATATGGAATAAACAGGGGTTGATATGGAATTGATAGGGATTGATATGGAACTGACAGGGGTTGATCTGGAATTGACAGGGATTGATTCGGAACAGATAGGGGTTTATATGGAATTGACAGGGGTTGAGATGGAATTGACAGGGATTGATTCGGAACAGACAGGGGTTTATATGGAATTGTCAGGGATTTATACGGAATTCCTAAGGACCGCCGCTCCAGAGGCTGCCGGGATAGGACCCAGGGTATGGCGTGGGGGAAAACCCGGACTGGATTTCACCAGGATACGGAATGGGGGAAAACCCGGAGTGGATTGCGGCTCAATCCCGGCATGGGGGCCCTGGGGGGGGTCTGACCCTCGCGGTTAGCACAGAGCCGCACACGGATGGCACACACATGACACACACATGGCACAGGCCGGGCACACACCCGGCACACACGCACCGAGCGGGCGCACACGGCCCCTCCTGCCCGCGGGTGGAGGAAGCTGCGTCGCTCCGTAGGCGGAGCTGCGCCGTGCCGGGCCGCGCCGTGCCGTGCCGGGCCGTGCCGGGCGATGGCGGGGCCGGGCGGAGCGCAGCGGGGCCGCTTCGCCGTGGTGGGCGGCGGCATCGCGGGGGTCACCTGCGCCGAGAAGGTACCGGGGCCGCGGCTGTGCCTCCCTGTCCTTTCCCCGGGCACTGCCCGCAGGCTCTCCCCGTCCTTGCCCCGGGCACTGCCCGCAGGCAGCCTGCAGCCGCGGGTGCCGGCCCCGGGCTGGGAGCGCTGCGCGCTCACCCGCAGATCTGTCACTGCGCAAATAGTCATGGGTGCCGTAGTTCCGTGCTCCCTCCTGCACACCCCTAATCGCCGTTTATTAAAAATAACTTGTCTCGCTGGGGAAAACACAAGGCAAGCGCGGCCCCAGGGCAGCGTGCTGTGATGTAAGGATGTTTGTCTGTGTAGAAGTACGTCTCCAGAGGTTCAGAGTTTATAAGGTTGTTTTGAAGCAGGTTATGAAACGCTTTGTAACAAGAGTTAGTTATGAATAACTAGAGAGCTGTCTCTCTGTGCCCTGGTCCAGAGGTCAGGGATTCAGGATCCCTGCAGGAATTATTGGAAGGCTGCTGGGATGTGCTCCTTTCTATTAGTGCTGCTCAGTTTATATAGGCTCCATGTTTTAGATCTCCACACCTCATCCACCCCTCTGTGTGCCCAAGCTCTAAAAGTAAATCAGTCTGTTTCTTGGTCTCAAGAATTTTGATGGTTTTAAAGTAACAGCAACTGGAGATAATTTTGCACCTGTAGAATGAAATTAGGTGGGGGTTAGTTTGGTGAGGAATATTTTATCTCTTAGGGCTGCAGAGCAGCATACAGACTGTTTTGGAGGCTCGTGTTCCCTGGTGATGTCAGGGTCCCTCCGGTTGGTGTCCCTTCCCCTCAGCAGCACCACTTGTCTTGGTCTGTGCCACCTTGCTGAGCAGTGCCCATTTAAAATGGGAGTTCTTCTCTGGTGATGTCAGGGTCCTTGTGGTAGTGTCCCTTCCCCTCAACAGCACCACTTGTCTTGGTCTGTGCCTTGCTGAGCAGTGCCCATTTAAAATGGGAGTTCTTCCCTTTGGCTTGGGGCTTTAAAAGTCTTGCATTGCTTCATAGCACCCTGAAGATGATCAGTTTACTAAATAGGGTATAAAATATCCAGGAGAAATCAACATTTCCTCTGTGAAAATGAAACCTGCAAGGAATTAGTCACTGCTGTGCAGTTAAAAAAAAAAATAAATGTATCCAGCAACTGGGTGTGTCAGAAATCCCACGGTCACAGTCTGACCCATCAGATGGCCTTTGGAATATTGTGACAATAGTCCTTTGCACTGTGGCTGCACTTCTTGAAGGTGTATTTATGTGTGATTGAAATAAATGTTGTGTCTCCATATTCTCTTCAGTCCTTATCCTTCTGTTGTGCTCAAGTAGTGTTTTTTCAATAAGGTTCTGCAAAACCAAAGTAATGTATTAACATGCTGCTTTTCACCAGTGGTTTTATTGTGTTCAAGTCTCTCATCATGGTTTCTGTTTCTTTACAAGCTGGCTGCAGAATTCCCATCAGAAGACATTTTTTTAGTGACAGCTTCCCCAGTTATAAAAGCTGTAACTAATTTCAAGCAGGTAAGAGAGACTTCATTTTTCTTACATTAAGACATGTTCAAAGTTTAATTGTGCAGATAATTTAGAGCCCAGTGGTGAAGATGCTCATGACTTTGAGCTTGTTTTCATATTAGTGTGACTGCAGTGGTGTTAGTAACACTGACAGGCTATTTTACAGTGATCAGTAATTGTGAATGTATTCACACCATTCAGGCAAAGGTTCAACCAGGTACTTACATGACTGAAGTGTGTTCTGAGTTACTGAAGCTTTATTTCACTGCTTTATTAGTGAGTGACCACTTTGAAGCACTGGAATTGAGGTATCATAGTCTTGCTCATGTTTGAATTTGGGGCAGAAACAGCAAAAGAAGGGAGAGGCTTCTGGGGAATTGCTTTGAGCTTTGTCTACTCCAGCAGCTGCTGATTCAGTGACGTCTTTCCTGCTGGTTTGAAAAAGAAAATCAAATGCATGCATGAATTCAGATTTGTGGCTAGTAGGGTGATGAAGCTGAGTCTGAGAGATCTCTGAGATTGATGGGGTAACACCCAACTACAGAATGCTTTCTGAAAGTGCTGTGTCCAGCAAAGTCACCTGCACAGTGCAGAGATGTAAAGTCTGTAATTCACATCAGTGGAAATTTACAGAGCTGAAGAATGAGGGAATAGCTAAGCACTATTGGAAGGCAGCAGCACCTAAGTTTTGGACATAAGCATCTTAATTTCTCTCTGAATTGCAAGCACGGTGTGGCTTCTGGTTCCCAGCTGTGTTCCAAACTCTGAATATTCAATAAAGTAGCAGGCCTGGAGGTTTCCATGCAGCCACTCTCTTTTGGAAAAAAACACAAAATTGTCATCACTCATTTGAATGTTTTTCAAGTTCTGGCTTGCCTCTTTGGGGTTTTTATTTTGTTTGTGTTTGCTTTCTGTTGGATGTTGTCCATTTCCCCTGAGGTCTTTGAAATATCAGATAGTGGCTCTGGATGAGTTATTTTATCAAAGTTACAAAAAGGAGAAAAACCAGGATTTTAACATAACATAAATGAAAAATACATACATACCTCACATAAATGAAAAATCAGTGTTAACAACTCTGATAATAGACTTCTTTATGGAATAAGACATTGTAGCAGTTAGAGCAACTGCCAGGGTTCTCAATTTTTTGCTTAATCTCTATATTTAGTATTAACATGTAGTACTTTGACTCTTCAACCAGGAACAGGCATGAAAATATTCTGTATTGAAAAAGAAACTTTCAGCAGTTACATGATAACACATTTTCAGATAATATGGGCTTTATATTGTGACTTTTTTACTATAAATGAACACAGCACCTTGTGTCAAAAGCTTTAGAAGAAGAGATGGATAAATGATCCATATTTTTAAATACTTCTCTTTCTCCTACAGGTCTCCAAAACACTTGAGGAATTTGATGTCGAAGAGCAACCAAGTTCCCTGTTAGAAAAACGATATCCCAATATTAGAGTTATACAGTCTGGAGTGAAACAGTTGAAAAGTGATGAACATGTAAGCTAAGGTTTTCTTTTTTGTTTTGTTTTTTTTCAAATTATGTACATAAAAATAATTTAGGAGGTAGCTGAATGTTTTGGGTGAGAAATTTTGATCAAGAACATTATGGTTATTGAATGGATAAGTTACCAAAATTACAAGAAAATATTTCCTTATTCTAATTTCACTTACTGCTTAACACTATTTTTCAAGTAGAAATATATACAGAGGACAAAATAAATCTTGAAAGAACCAACATTTCCACCTTTTCTTCCTTCTGTTTAGCAGGAAATACGTTGCAAATATGAGCAATGGGCAGCATGTACCTGTTAGCTCTGTGTCAGCATGTTATTTTCACTTCAGCATGTGTGAGAAACTCACATTCACATCCCAGACTGCTTTTGCTCATTTTTAAGGTTTGGAGATGTAATTCCAGGTAGATTCTGCTAACATTCTGAATCCAGTGCTTTCCTTACATCATTACTAGGATAGCGTTTTAATACATGTCTTGGTGGACACAAATAATTAATCTATGTGGATTTAGAGGATCTTTTGCCCACAACCACTGTAAACTATGCAGCTTGAAGTTTGTAGAACAACAAATAATGTCATAAAATGTTAAAATTTCAGGTCTTCTTTCTCAGAATGATGTAGCTTGCTGAGTGCCTCCACTTTTTCTTCAGCAAAGAACAGATTTGCAGATTTCTGAACTGTGTCTTGTCCTGTGCCTGCTTAACACAGATCACAGCTACTGCTGATGAAATGTTTGAATGAAATTCTCAGTTGCTGATGTCCAGCAGTGCATAGTTCTGTTCCTGGGCCTGAGGGACATCTGTCACATAGAAAACAGAGAATTCTAGGCACAGCCAGTGAGTACCAAGTGCCACCAAGTGGTTGATGTTGCTTTGAGTGCACTGTGTGCACTCCCCATTTTATTGGTCACATATTTGTGGTGAGTGTGGTGGGAATAAATGACACACAGCCATGAAGAGTATGAAGCCTTGTTCCTTCAGAAGCCCTTGCAGCTTATCATATCTGCTAATTACTGTGACATTAAGGAAAGATGTCTCTTAGATGTCTTGATTTAGATGAATTCTCTTAGGTGGATTAATTTTTCTCTTCATTGTTAACAGAAAATTTACACTGAAGATGGGAAAGAATACATCTATGAAAAACTTTGCCTGTGTGCTGGAGCCAAACCAAAATTAATTGTGGAAGGGAACCCATATGTATTAGGAATCCGGGACACTGACAGTGCACAGGTAAATGTGTTTGGGACTTAAAAATGTGTAATATATTCCTGCATCTGGTGCCAAAATACCAGAATTATTGTGGAGGGAAATGGAGAAACAGAAAATAATGTTTGTTTTTATATATTCCTAAATGGGAACATTTTCACAAGCAAAAAAAACAGCCTTATAATGTCACTAAATTCATTAGCCACTATATTTGTTAAGCTTATAGATGGCTCATATGCATTATTTCTAACATGATAATATGGAATAAATGACATTTTTTCACCCTCCAGGCAGAATCCAATTGGAAAATATAAAGAAATTTCCCTGGGAAGGTGTGTGTGGTACCTGGTACAAAGGGCTGCTTCGTACAGTGGAAAGCTACTGAAGGAATGACTTTTTATTCTCTTGTAGTTCTACTGTAGCTTTTCCTCTTTGTACAGAAAAGAGGTAGAAATAGTCAAAGATGTGGAAGAATTTTCATCTGAGAAATTACTTAATTGACTAAAAATTAAGCTTGGAAGGCAAAGATGAAGTTTCACTGCTACAGGTCTTCAGAATTAGAGGTGCTCTGTAACATGGAACTGCCATTCATCAAAAGAAGCTGGACCTTGAGGATAAAAAAGGAGTTACATTTTCAAAGAATCTGAAGTGACACTGAAATTGTTGTTTGTTACAACAACAGCTTCTGTTACAAGTCTCAGCCTAGCCAGATGTCTATCAATAGTTGAGAAAATCAAGACTAAGAGCAAGAAAATACTGAAAAGAATATAGTTGATGAGTGTGAGGGAACATGCTCTAATTGACATTTTTCCTTTCTTAATGCAGGCTTTTCAGAAGAATTTGGCTCAAGCTGAGAGAATAATGGTGGTAGGAAATGGTGGGATTGCCCTTGAATTAGTGTAAGTGAACAAAAAATACATGAATGAAATCTTTACCAATGCAATGCAATCTAGTGTAAATGAGTTTGGGAGAAGGTTGACAAACACAATTTTATCTCTTAGAGCATTTAGTAGCAAAACTGATTGCAGGTTTGTTTTATTTTTGCAACATAGTGGGGTTTACTGATACATAAAATTAGGAAAGCTCCAGAAGAAGCTTTGACACACGGGCATCAAGAATATACAGTTCATGTTCCACATAGTGCAAACAAGATCCAAATGCTTGTTTTTAACAGTGGGAGTCTGGCAGAAATGCACTTTTTTCATTACAGGGAGCAGGAAATACTAATTATTAGTATTATAAATTGGATCTGCCCCCTACCCCAGTTCAGGGTTGTGTTGGTGAGAAAGTATGACTTGTCAGCTTGAAGAGATATTTTTAATGGGTTCCTTATGTAAATATTTAGAAGTGGATTTGACAGGTTGGAAAGTCTTGGATCCAGTCTTGGGTCCCCTGGTTCTGGCTTCTGGAAGGAAAGCTGACACACTTCTGCTTGTGCTGCTAACAGTCAGATCCTTTGCAGGCAGTCTGTCACTTTATTCATTACAGGGAGCAGGAAATACAAATACTAATTATTAGTATTATAAATTTGATCTGCCCCCTGCCCCAGGGGTTGTGTTGGTGAGAAAGTATAGCTTGTGAACTTGAAGAGATATTTTTAATGGGTTCCTTATGTAAATATTTAGAAGTGGATTTGACAGGTTGGAAAGTCTTGGATCCAGTCTTGGATCTCCTGGTTCTGGCTTCTGGAAGGAAAGCTGACACACTTCTGCTTGTGCTGCTAACAGTCAGATCCTTTGCAGGCAGTCTGTCACTTTATCCCTTGTTTAAATTCAGGTATGAAATTCAAGGCTGTGAAGTAATCTGGGCTATCAAAGACAAAGCCATCGGGAACACTTTCTTTGATGCAGGAGCAGCTGAATTCCTCCTTCCAAAGCTCACTGCTGAAGGCCAGGAGACTCCCATCGAGTGTAAAAGAACCAAGTACACAGTGGAAGGTATGGGCTTATCTTCCTGACACTGCAGCAGCAGCATGTCGTATTGAAGACAGTCTTAAAATCAGGCAATTTAGCAGCCTGGAATAAGGCTTACTGTTATCATTAATGACATTTCCTTCTTCAAAAACTGAGAGTAAAAACGCAACATAAAAACCCATCCCCAATTTTTCTTGTGAGAAACAGACACAGTTTCTTGTGAGCTGTAAAAAGTGCTTACCTTTGTGCCAAATTTATATTAATTCCCTGTATTCCTTCTGCTGAACAACTTGTTCTGTTTTTTGTAATGTTTTGATGTGAACTCACCATTATATAGGGAGGAGCTGTCATGTAGTAAGATTTTTGAGGAGCAGATGAAACTGCACAGGTTATTATAAATGGAGTGAAAGTGCAGTCTCAGAATTAACTAGGAGTGCATGAACAAACATCACACAAACATATGTAGGACCAAAGTCATAACAAAAAGAAGAGCATGGTTCTAGACATTAGGCAGGAAGAACAAGGATATTACCCTAGATGGTATTTTTCTATTAATTGAGAATCCTTGCTCTGAATTCTGAGGACAAGGAAGGATGCACACTAATCTGATACACTCCATCCCTTTGCTTCAGGAAGTGAGGAGAAAGGAAGACCTGCAGGAGCATCTGACAAGCTGGGCAGTGCCTTAGGCCCTGACTGGCACGAGGGCTTACACCTTAAAGGGACTAAGGAGGTATGGGCATAACCTCGCTGCCATATTTATTTGGGTGTTGTGGGCATGAGCACTGGGAGGAGTTCCATCTTTGCAATAAAGCAAAAATCCTCACTTTTTTAAAATGAATTCCTTAGCTAGGTGTTTGCATCTGTTTTGCATTTAAAAAATGACCTGTCAAGGGTGATCAGTCATAAACCAGCTAAAGGATGTTCAGGATATTTAGCAGCTTAATCAGTGGTGGTTTGGCTGTTGAAGGCTGTGGAACTGTATTTGTGTTAGAGAATAAAACAAGGCTCAAACTCACAAAACAATTTAGAGAAATGGGCAACTTTCTAACTTCTGGCTGGAGCTCAGAATATGGTTGAAATGTGGGTTGATGGTACAGAGTATTTTTTCTTTTTACAGTGTTTAGAACATAAACGTATTATTGTTACCAGAATTTAATTCATGATAGAAAAGCAAAGGATTTGCAGTCCTGAAAGACAGAAAAGATGAGTTTACTTTCTGTTCTGATAAGGTTTAAGGTCTGATAAGGTTTCTGATAAGGTTTTAGGTCTCTTCCTGTAAGTTTAGGGGAACCTATGTTTTCTGGCATGCCAGAAAAATGTAATTGTTATGAACTTTCAAGGAACATGAGATACCTGCTGAAAAAGCAGGTAAATTGCCATTGGCTATGATTAGATCTGTGCCAAAAAGAGGAAAGTGTGGGAATGCAGTGAGTGGGCTGGGATATATGGTGGGGGGTTTTCCACTTCAGTAATATCATTTTAGGTGAAGATATGCTTGCTATTATCAATCTTGTGATCACTAATAATTATGTTTATAATTCTGTCAATTTTTCTTTAGTTTTCTCATAAAGTACATATTGAAATACTGTGTGAAGTAAAGAAAATATACTTACAGCAAGAATTTACCCAACTGCAGCTGACTTCCTTGACTTTTCCTAAAGGAGAGAAAAACGTAGAAGCAGATGAGGGTGAGTGCCAGTGCTGATAAGACCTTGAAGATAAATCTGTGCTGAGGCATGTTTGATCTTGTTTGCTGTTTTAAAACAAATACAGATTTGAAAAAGAAAATTTTTATCTCTATCATTTGAGGTCTAGGAGTTTACAGTAATGAAATTTATGGGCTGTAATTAAATTACAAAATCTTTTGGGTCAGACACTTTTTTCCACAAATTAACCAAAATCCTGTATGCAGAATATTCCATCCTAACACAATCATTTAATATTTTAATAGTAAAGTTAAAACAGGAGAAAAAAAACCACCAACATTTTGTATCAAAACTGAAGTAAACCTTCCAAGTAGAGGAAAATACCCCTTTTTGGAAAATGAATAATTATGCCTATAATTTCCACCTAATTAATATGAATTTTTAAAATACTATTTTAGTAATCATTTACTTTCAGCACAAATCAAATCTCTGCCATTCTTTTTGCTTTTGAGGCACTTCTGTGCATCTGTAAATTTCTACATAAAAGAATATTTGGCAATTGCATACTTGAGAGAACATCCCACAGGACACAGTATTTACGCCCCTAGAAATGAGGGCTTTAATTTAGGAAATTTCTGAAGAAAGGTAGGAGTTGGAGCTGAGATCCAAAATAGTTTTTTTCTTTAGTTCTGAGTGATGGTAAGAAAGGTTATATATAATCTGTGATAATTTTTTCCTTTTTATTTTTAATTTTAACCTTTCTTTACCTATTCAGTTACCTCAAGGGTTTTGTGGTTTTTTTTTTCTTTCATATCTTATCATAAGACCTAATCAATAAAATAACTTCTGTTGGTTACATTCTTGGGGCAAAATTTTCTCCTTTTTCAGTGCTGTGGCCTGTATATGTGGAATTAACTAATGGAAAAATTTATGGATGCAATTTCATTGTCAGTGCAACTGGAGTTGTGCCAAATGTTGAACCCTTTCTTGATGGCAATAATGTAAGTATCCTGATTTCTTCTGGAGCTTTTCAAGTAAGGTTAAAGAAACCTTTTCAGTTGGTTTATGCTTCTGTTCTGACATGAAACATGGATTGCTGCAGATTTAAATGCTGTGCACCATCTCAACATAAGGCAGGGTATGTTGAGAGTGAGATATCCAACATGATAGAAGTGTATTTGATTTGTGTCTTGGTTTATTATGTTGCTCCCAGGTGTTTATATACAGTATTAAGCTTAACCAAATAGAGAAAATCCTCTGTATAATTGGCTAAAATGGCAAAAATATAGAATAATTTCCATGTTAGTTCTGTACCATATTCTTACCTTATTAATATTGACATTTGTTTCTGGAAAGGAAGCAACTATTTCCAGTCCTTTCCATCTGGGACACTGAGCTGTGACAGTGCTCATGTTCATTGAGGGAGGTCAGCACCTAAATGTGGATGGTGATTCTGGAGTTGATAACTGCCATGTGTATTTCCAACCTCAGGATCATTTTGTTTCTGTGTTCAGTGCCTGCTCAGCAACAACTCAAACATCCCTGGGTTATTAATTAACACTGATCACAAATCCAACAAATAGCCCTATACAAGCTGCTACTAAAAAATGATCCCAGACAAACCAGGAGGTTCAGCTATTTCAGGTTAAGTGGTGCCATCTGATTAGGAAGTAAAAGGCTGTGCTCTGGTTAAAGTAGGAAATGCTGAAAACATAGATCTGATGTTGAGACATGAGATATTTCCAGGCCTATGCTTATAAGCTTAGATCAGGAATTAAGTTTTTGCAATGGTATTTTCTTGGCAAAAATACAAAGTGATCTTAAGACTCGGTGTCCCTCGGTGTAACACACAGTGTGATCTGGAATTTGGCAAGCTCTGTGACTTCCCTGCCTAGGTATCAGTATCAGTCCTTTAAAAACCTGTGCTGTGCTCTAGAAATAATAACAACAGTAATGCTTTGTACCTTCCATGGAGCTCTTGCCACTCAGGATAGTAAATAATAAAGGAACAGCTGATGGCTTAAGGTGGAGGGAGCTGGGTGCCTTGATGCCTTGTCTCACTGCTGATGTGTGAACCCTGCAGTTTGCTGTGGCTGAGGATGGAGGGCTGAAGGTAGACAAGCACATGCACACGTCGCTGCCAGATGTGTTTGCAGCTGGAGATATCTGCACAGCAGCGTGGGAGCCCAGCCCCGTGTGGCACCAGGTACGTCCTGGCACGTGTGACCCACAGGAGTCACCACCAGTGCTCTCACTGAGGAGGGAAGGGTTAACTGTGGGTAATCCTGGGGGTTGGTGGCTGGAAACCCGGCTGGCCAGCCCCTCTGAGTATTAACACAACGTGTGCACTGAGTGCTCACTGCAGTGAGTGGTGTGGCACACTGATGGTCTTGTGGCTTCACGCTTCCCAATTTTCTGTTCCAGATGAGGCTGTGGACCCAGGCTCGGCAGATGGGATGGTATGCAGCAAAGTGCATGGCAGCAGATGCCTTAGGGGAATCTATTGATATGGATTTCAGCTTTGAACTATTTGCTCACATAACAAAATTTTTCAATTACAAGGTCAGTAGAGTCTGATAGTTGTAAAGCACTGATTAACACATACTGCTTGCTTATATTCACTTGCTGACAGTGAGCAGATGCTTTGAGGAAACAGGTTTCTTTATATAGCAATTAATCCTAGCTTAGATTTTCTCACTTTGTACTAAGTGTATATTTCAAGGGGAAGATTTTTGAGTCCATTGTGTGTTTGCAGGCCAGTGATGGGGGAGGGACCCTAGGGACGAATATTTTTCTGTTTGCATCATTTTTGAGGCTGAGAACTGTTAGCAGCAGAAATGCTGAAAGCCACTGCAATGTTGCTATGAGAGCTTTTCCCTTTTCCTTCTGCTAGGTGGTGGTTTTGGGGAAGTACAACGCTCAGGGCCTGGGCTCAGAGCACGAGCTGATGCTGAGGTGCACCAAGGGACACGAGTATGTCAAAGTGGTGATGCAGCACGGCCGCATGATGGGAGCTGTGCTCATCGGTGAAACGGACTTGGAAGAGACCTTTGAAAACTTAATTTTAAATCAAATGGATCTTTCAGCCTATGGTGAAGATCTCCTAAATCCAGATATTGACATAGAAGATTACTTTGATTGAACAATACCCCATTCCCTGTTTGTATGAAGCTTTGCTAGCAAGTCATACACCTTAGAAAACTGTTTTTTCGAGATTGGGGATAAATGCAATCCTCTACTAAGACTTTGGGTTGATCTTGCCAAAATACTGACGGGTTACTGCCACAGGTACCAGCTAATGGTGCAATCTCTGTTGAGCTGGCTCAGATGAACAGAGAACAGTTTTAGGGCACAGGGTGCTCAGAGCTCTTGCTGCCTAGAATGTAAGTTGCAAATTCATGGCCTTACTCCATTTTTTCCCCCCCCCATAAGTTTACTTCTGAAATAAATATATTTTCTATTCAGTTAAGTAGAGAACACAAGCTTTGTACAATGAAAGCCAGGATGAGATGTCAGTTGAGAGCAGCTTTTGAGCTGCTTGTCCCTTCAGTCCAGGTGTTGGGGTAGAGCTGCACTGTACTGGATAGTGCCAGCCCTGGACAGCAACTGTTTCATCCTGGCTTTGATTTTGTTCTACACTTGCTGCCTGAGAGTTGCTATTTATTTTGGGTTCGGGATTGGGGATAAATGCAAAGACTTTGGGTTGATCTTGCCAAAATACTGACGGGTTACTGCCACAGGTACCAGCTAATGGTGCAATCTCTGTTGAGCTGGCTCAGATGAACAGAGAAGAGTTTTAGGGCACAGGGTGCTCAGAGCTCTTGCTGCCTAGAATGTAAGTTGCAAATTCATGGCCTTACTCCATTTTTTCCCCCCCCCATAAGTTTACTTCTGAAATAAATATATTTTCTATTCAGTTAAGTAGAGAACACAAGCTTTGTACAATGAAAGCCAGGATGAGATGTCAGTTGAGAGCAGCTTTTGAGCTGCTTGTCCCTTCAGTCCAGGTGTTGGGGTAGAGCTGCACTGTACTGGATAGTGCCAGCCCTGGACAGCAACTGTTTCATCCTGGCTTTGATTTTGTTCTACACTTGCTGCCTGAGAGTTGCTATTTATTTTGGGTCAAATTGGGAACCATTTATTGTACTCAATACAAAGCTGGCAGTACATACTGAGACTTGTCCCAGACAAATCACCTAATGTTTTTTAGGAGAATGACTTTTTAACTAAATTTTCAATTTTTGGCAAAGGTCTCAGCTAAAGGATGGATTAAAGACTATAGGCTTTAGTCACTGTCACAATTTTACCAGAAAAATAAAGATGAAGAGCATGTTCTTAATGATACTAATTTTATCTTTGTTTCTTATACATCTAAGTGTAAGGGAGAAGAACTAAGAAGAACCCAGAACTTGCATTTATTAATGAAACTGAACATGCCTTCCTGATCTTTGGGTCTTCATGGTATTAGTTGTATATTTGTTTTACATGTAAGGGAGAAGAACTAAAATGCAACCACCCAGAACTTGCATTTATTAATGAAACTGAACATGCCTTCCTGATCTTTGGCTGCTAAGATGTTAAAAGTAAGAAAACAAAATTGAATCCAGCAGTCAGCATATGTGCCTGAGAATGCTTGCAGGCAGCAGTAGCTGTTGAGTGTTTCCTAGGCTGGCAGGTTGTCTGTTTGTAAACTTAAATTGAGGTACTTCTGCCAAGCACAGAAGTCATAAATTTCTATTTGTGTAACAATCTAGAGAAGTCCAATTTGAAGAGCAACAGACATATTTCAAAGGAATAAATAGACATAATATTTCACTCATAAATACATACAGCATTTGACTCAAACATGCCACAGTGGGGGTAGGGACAGTGCCCACATGGGCTGGAACAGCCAGCCCTGGCACAGCAGCAGCTCTGAGCCAGCCAGGGCTCCAGAGGAAGAATGCTGGAGCATCCCAGTCTCCAGCTGTCTGCTCTCACTCCCTGGGGCTGGTGACAGCAGCTACCCTGGGGAGGCAGTGCCCTGACTGCAGTGGAGTCACTGGTGAAGAGGAAAATCACCTGCACAGCAGGCAGAAGGAACAGGAGGTGACAGGGTCTTTGTGCAGAGCTAAGGACCACCAAGTCCTGTGCTGCAAAGGAGACAAATCTCAAGAGGACTCTCAGGAGAGCAGTGGGTGGAGACTCCCACAGAAGAGAAGACTGGAAACCTCTGCACCTTTGGCAGTCCTTTCCAGACTGCAAGAACCCACCACAGTGTTACTGTTTACTACACTTCCAGAAGAGGTAAAAAGGCAACATGGTCATTATATAGCTTTTGTAATCATTGCTGTATCCTAAGATTGGCACCAATTATTTTGATATGAAACACTTCCTCCTCCATTAGCCTTCTCGATTTGACAGTTTAAGATATTTGTTCCCTGTTCAGTGTTTATTAAATAAAAAAACCATTACTAAAGCACAAACTGAACTTACACACTGCATTGTCCATGGAGCAGCAACCATGATTAGATCCTAAATTTAGTCTGTGACACTCAGTCAATTAGTACTGGTTGGTCATCTGCACCTGCCTGAAGCTTAGGCTTCTTTGCTTTTAAGTTAGGACCACAGCTGGGCCGTTTATGTTCCTGTGATTTCTTCACCACTGAATCCTGGACAGTCTTTGATCCAGTCTGGGCATTTTCTCTGCTTCCTTTTGAAGATGGAGATGGTTTGACCTGTAAGATTTAAGAAGAGTTCAATTAAAATTCTAACACTGTCTTCCTCCTTTTTCCATGTTGTCACACAAGAGAGAAGATATTTATGAGGTTGACTGCATTATTACAAAACATGAGCATATTACAAATATTTGGTATCTTTGAGCAGATACCAAATTATTAAATTAAGCTTTAATGGAGAAGATACCTATATGGCAGATCAGAACAGATGTAAATACCTTGAAAACACTTTTGCTGTTTGTTATCCCTTCTATGGTGATGACATGTCCCTCGTTTTTCAGCAGCCGGGCTTTGGGTCCCACCTTCAGGTAGGATATTGTAGCAAAGGCTGTGAAGCTGAAATCCTCCCTGCATGAATGAAATCACTGTTACAAGGGAAGGTTGGAGACAGGCCAGAGTATGCAGGGGGAAAAAATCATAGTATCAAGGTTAGAAAAGACCTCCAAGATGATCAAGTCCAACCATCAGCCCAGCACTGCCACTAAACCATGTCCTCAGGTGCCACATCTGCATGTTGTGTCAACAGTAGTCCCAGGAAAGGTGACTCCACCCCTTCCCTGCCTCCATCTCAACAACTCTTTCCATAAGGACAGGGACACATGAACCCTTCTGATGGATGTTTCAGAGAGCAGCTTCATTCTGCTTTATCTATTCAAGTAGACAGTCAGGTCTAGAGCTACTCTGATCAACACTTAACATAATTCAGTTTGTGGACCTTGACACACACAAAAACACTCAGATGCACACCTGTCAATCTCTTGAAACACATGGAAGAAAAGGAGATGCAGCAAAAAAGATGTAAAAGTCATCTGCTCACCCTCTATAATGTTAAAAAGCTACACAGAGAGATGCAAAGAAAAATTAAGTCAAAGGGATTAGATATTTGTAGATATTCTTGAACTTAATTGAACTTGAACTTCTCATAGAAGACAAAACACACAGCACATGGACAGCTTACACAGGCAGCATTGTTGTTAGTTCCACTATCCTTTCTTAAAATTTCTAAGTATCACTTTCCACATTAGCCAGTCTTTCCTGACTTAGACATTGTGTAGGCAACCCCATTTGCTCTCCTTATCCATGGAATGTGAATGAGATCTGTATGAACTGCAGACTTCTCCAAAATTAATCCTGCTGCAGATTTAAACATTCTGCCTGAATACAGAAGACCCCAGCTTTTTAAAATTGCACAAGATGCAGCATTTCAATTGTTTCTCCAACTTTTGAAATGGAAATATAACAATACTTGAAGGGTTTTTAAGAATACATTAAATGCATCGAAAATGAAAACAATACCACAGAATGTATCCATTAATGTTACACAGAAGTAACAAGAGAGCAAGGAAAAATGACTACTAAGTGTTAAAAAACCAAAACAAAGAAAACAAAATAGTTATCTTCCATACTTCAGATACTGCTGCAGCAGGAAATGGGCAATAATTCTCTCCAGCTCCTCTCGAGGGTGCTTGGGTGGAGTAACTTCAGGCACCCTGAACTTGGACACACCTTTCCCAGACCAGGCATCGATTAATTTCAGTGGGGTGAGTTTCTCACTCATGCTGTCAGCTTGCTCAAGGATCTTTATTAGATCCCTGCAGTATCCTGTTACATCCATCTTCTCACACGCTGCAAGTAAAAGTGAAGGAACATTTAAATAGAAAGCTCTTTGTAGTTATATATAGAGTTATATGTAGCTATGAATACATATCTTTGTGCTATATAATAGCAAGGCTTTTTTTGTTTTGCTTTTAAACTAACTTGGCCACCAAAAACTGCTATTCATAACAAAATCTGCACCTTGAAAACAGTCAGTAATACAAGCACAGGTCACAAAATCTGCTTACAGTTTTTCTCCACCAGGTATTTCTTTAAATCAATTTTTCCCACGTTCCCTGTCCTTTACCTACCGTTCTCTCTACAGCAGTTATCACACATTCTGTTGCAGTTTGCAGAATCCCACACTTCATCAAAGTGGTGGGCTATGAGCACCCGGCGACACCTGAGGAGCAGAAAGCAGAGAGGCTATAGATCCCAGGTGAATATGTCACACCTGCCTTATACAGCATGAAAATGGCAAAAAAGGTCCTAGGGACAGCTCAGGTCTCAAAACAAGCACAAAGAATTACCAGAGGAAAAGTCAGAGAACAAACACAGCAACACCAGTATTCCCTATCAGCTATGCCAATAGGAACAGTTTGGTTGAAGCAGAAGAGTATAATCTGCAGTTTCAAGAGAATGAAAAATGGTAAGAATCTGAACTCATTTTTACACTGAGGCCACAAAAGGCTCTACTGGATGCACCAGCTGTCACCAACACAGATACACATTTTCCATGAAATATCACAGTGAAGCAGGTGAAGCAGCAAATACACCTGGATTCCTGTGTGGCCATTAAACCACAGAACTCCAGCATTTCCTCTCACTGGGATTTGAAATCCAAACAGTGTTTGTTGACAGATACTTCACCTCCACACAACCACTTCCAGAATTACATCCTGAAGCTGGCAAGCTTGCTGCTGTTTTTGTGGGTGGTTTTGTTTGGTGATGGCTTCATTTTTTTTAATTTTTTTTTTATTTTCCCCAAACGCCCCCTACAAACCCCCAACAAAAATTAGCCCATTTAAAAACTAAGCAACCAAGCCATCACAGTAACTTACTTGCTCATATTTTGGCAATAAGATACCATATCATACAGCTTCTCTTGGCCAACATTTTCCATCACCACCATTGAGCTGATTCTGAATATATCTCCAAAGCCGTAATACAAAATGCAGTCAGCTTTTTGGTCATCTCTACCTGCAATGCATTCAAATGAACAGATAATTACAATCTCAACCCATTGCCCCTCAAATTCCTTGACAAGCTCTTCCCAACAGACTCAAATCTGTCTTTAGAAAAGTAATGAGATAAACAAGACCAAAAAAACCCCCAAACACTGCAAAATGTTTTTGGGGGTGGAGTTTGGCCATAACAGGTATTTCATGCTACTAAACATTGATCAATCCTTAAAATTCCCTGCTCCAGACTCCCTGTCCTACTTGTATTTCTGAATTCATATAGTGATTAAACATATAGAGACAATCTGAGCAAATCACACATCCCAGGTGCTATACGATATTAAAAAAATTAAAATTGTATATCAAATCTGTATCATGTTATTCTGGTAAACCACAGATTCGAGAGAAAATCAAGTATTTCAAAAAATGCTGAGTGGTGGTGTAGATACCCAGACATTCTTTGTTACACTGCAGTAGAGGCCAGGTCATGAATGCAGTTTATATTTAAAGCCTCTTTACAGAGGCAAGTTTCATTACACACTTTGAAAACTGTCTCAAAGGCAAGAGACTGCACAAATGCCAGGGAAATTGAAGGACAGTTTGCTGGTGTAATGGATGTAAATGGCAATTTTGCAAAAGCCACTTCCTGCAATACCTGCACGTCCACTCTCTTGGTAGTAGTTTTCCATGGACTTGCTCATAGAGTGATGAATTACAAACCTCACATCAGGTTTATCAATTCCCATGCCAAAAGCAACAGTTGCCACTACAACCTGTGAAAAAGAAAAAATATTAAGGAATCATCAATATACCAAACCACAATTTGTTTACATAAGACATT